AACTTTAGAAGTGTTGAGAATGTGTGTTTGAGTGTCAGTGAACTTTTGATTGAATGCACATTCCTTATAAATAATACATCACATGTTCCTTCTTTTGCAGATAATTTAAAATAACAATGAATTAGCAATTGCATTGGATATACAAAAAAATCGATGCTTAAGCTTCTGCTCTAGTGTTGTACAATAATACGCTTTACTTTTTAAATAAAATTTTTCAAAAATATGCCGGTTTTCCACTTCATTGCAGATTTATTTTGGTCTGTTGTTGAAAATAAAGGCGAACATAGGAGACCTTTGGGGTTATGTCAGTGGATGGAAAATAGGGAGTTCTGTGTGTATTTAGGCGAAAAGTAGACAATTCAGCGGACATTTAGGCGAAAAGTGAGTAATTTATCGACAAAACGGCGAAAAAGGCGACATTCTGATGCGTTTTCCCCTTTCGCTACCAAAGCATTTACCCCTTTATTTTCCCTTTTTGGGTTGTCTGGGGAGCTACAATGTTTTGGCTGCTGATATTATTGCAAAAATACCTGATAGCAGAAATAAGTACTGATATAAAGCTGTCACGAGAAAGCACTGAAAAGTACGACTCGATAGTCAAGATATCTTGATCTAAGGTGACCAGATTGTGTGAGATCCTATGTGATGATCTTCGGAAATCAACCAAGGCCTGTCTAGCTTACGTGCTGATGCCGTAAATGACAATTACTCATAACTTACGTGGGACTAGAATGGAATATGCATCAAGAATTGCAGGTTACACAGGACGATTCAAAGTAAATTCACACAGTAGTCTTTATATATGTTCATCGTCTAAGTTTCCGAAGTGCAACCTGTCGAAAGAATTAAATAATACAATCCGTGTATATTGTGACCCAGATTTTCCTAAGCAACGCAAGAGATAAATGAAATAAGCGTGATTGACTATCCAAAGGAGGGGTGTGATAAATGCACTTTCGATCTGTAATTGAATACTGGTTTCCGTTTTTATACTCGTTTCTGGTAAACATTTATACTGAAATAACTTTCCTGTCTATCTTATTTCCAGCTAGCTTCGCAAGTGTTCACAGACCTAACGGGAACAATTCCTCAGAAATAGAAGTTATTTATTAATGGATCACTTGTGCTAGATTCAAACTTTAATAAACGTTTTCATTCATAACGCACCAATCTTTTAATTAGGGCAATTCGTATCTATCGTGACAGGTCGAAATTCGAACTACTAATATGGTACACCATGTTCAAGGTAGCAGTATTTGGTAAACGGTATGTATGACTAATCGCGTGTGCGCCAAACTGGTAATTATTACACAAGAACACGAAACAACATCACTGTCTCACAGCCACATAGGACTGCACAGTACACTCCCTGCCGTTACGCTATAAGAATAAGTCAATGGCCATATAAGTGAATATATGTAAAACTAAAAAGATTACAATATCAGGACTTCTTGTTATCAAGAAGCATAGCTATGGTCTGCATTAACAATGGATTCTGACGTTGTAGCTTCATCATTAGCACCGATTGAACTCATCACTTGTGCGCATATGTCTTCCAATGCTTCGAGGCATGAACGGATGAGTTTACTTGCCAAAGGTTCACTAAGAGCATGGATTGAGTGGTAGTTGCTAGTGAACTTCTCTAGCAGATCATCACTCCCTGTAGAGATTGAGATGTCCAGCGCACGAAGAACCAGGTCCATTATATACTTTCTTGTCCACCGGTTGCTATGTCGAAATAAGTCTACAAAACTTATAGAGATAAAGGAACACACATACCTCTACGAATCAGATCTTTAGAATGTGCATACAAAATATGACATCTTCGCGTCGTTCTTGACTGCAAAGAGCATACATAACAGTGTGCCCTTGCCCAAGACTATCAGTCACCATTAGCTGGAAAAGTGGAAAACTTTCAGATAAATTTATTACTAATCGTTACTTACCCGACTTTATTGGTCTGATAAGTCGAATCAATACATATTACCTTCGGGAACGCGTGGTAAACAGCTATTTGCTTTCTGCGGCTGAAGCAAATCATAGACATGTTCCCATTTTCATTGAATACTTTAACTTCAGTATTTGCTTGAACGCGCTGTAAAATGTCATTGATATTTTTAGTGTCTAAACTCAATTAATTACAATGTGAGTTCAACAACCTGGGTACAACTGTGAACGCATTCTGGCGATATCGTCCTTGGTAAGCTGTTTATTGAACTTCCAAGAAACCAGATACCGTAAGCTACGAGTTGGTGTATTACTCAGTAGAAACGTTCTTAAATACAAGCGTTCACTTGAGGTCAACTGTCGTTTCGATGGATCGACAGAAATATATCCTTCTGTGCAAGGATGGTTGTGCACGGTTTTAATAGAGGTGAGTTTCAACTCACCATTTACTGCCCGGACCCAAAATCCTGATTGACAATGGCAATATTTCGACCTGAAGGATAAATTCATTTGAAGTAAGGCATACGTAGATGACCGACGTCGTCTCCTTTGCCTAGGTTGTGTTGGCGAGTTAGAAGTTGTATGCTCTTCAGAAGAATGATTATTACTATCATCATCTACATCCTGAACGCAAGCATCTGACTCTGAGGAACTGCGTTTACGTCCATATGTACAGACATATCTCACGAAAAAGTACTTTAGAGTTGGATCATCACTGTTCTTTTTGCATACTGACATAACGTACTTAGTATGCGTATACTAAAAAAATAATTATTAACCACAGAGGTCATATTACCTTATGTACTTCTTTCAAACAGGTCTCAAAATTGTCCCAACTTGTAAATCTTCGAGACAACATAATATCATTGAAGATTCGTCCTATATCATGCATCATCACGATGGAATCGTCTTCGTTACTCGAAGAATGGACGTTATCAGACATAGTGTGGCTGAACTCAATTCAAATCTAAAAATGTCTTGATTTGACCGCTTCTGAAAATTTTCACGAATTGTCGATGTGACGCACCAATCATTTTGCGACAGTTTGACCTTCAAGTGCTCGCAACCCCCATCAGTGGACGATACCCTAGGAGCGTTGCCAATACAATACATTCGTTTGTGCTTGTGTCTTACTTCTTAATTCAATTGCGTTAATTCTGGGATTCCTAGTTTATAATACAATTCAAATAATTCAAAACATTATATTGGCGTCGCGATGGAGCCTGCAATAGAAAAGTTAGATATTCATTCAACTCCTGAGGCTTTTGAGGATTACTTGGAAAGGTTCGAAACCTGGAGCATGACCAAGAAAGATGTTAAAGGTGATAAAATTGTGACACATTTTCTGACATTCATTGGGAGAGAAGCGTACAGTTTATTAAAAACTTTGGCATATCCAGAAAAACCTATCTCACTACCTTATGCAAATCTTAAAGAAATATTATTAAGTCATGTAAAATGCACCAGTTTTGAATGCCGTGAAAGGGCGAAGTTTCATAAAATGGTTTGTCAAAATGACCAAAAGGCTTGGGAATTCATCCTTGAATTACAGAAACAAGCTGCCAAGTGTAATTTCGGTGATCAACTTCATGTGCAACTGAGAGATCGATTGATTGCAGGAATTAACATACCGAGTTTGGAAAGAGAGCTGTTAAAAATGCCAAACTGTTCCTTTCAAGATGCTAGAACTGCGTGTATTAACTACGAAGCAGTCAATGAACTTGATATTCAGTCGATGAAGATTTCTAATACTTTGCTTAGTCGTCGTGATGAACTACAATCTCAGGGTCAATCAAAATTGCGTTCATTTAATAGTGATTCCTATTCTCGCGTAAATATGAAAGGTGTTTCAACAAGGAATTACAAAGCAAATCACAAAGGTGAGATGAAGTTTGGTAAATGCTTATCATGTGGAAAGTTCCGTGCTCGCAATTCATGTGTATTTCGTAATGCTAAATGTTTTAACTGTGGTAAGGTAGGACACATTCAGTCAGTATGCAAAGCTACTGTCCATTTCGCTTCAAGCTGTACTAAATCTTGTAACTCAAATTTCAATAATTCGGATGTTTCTAGTGATCATTTATCTTTGTCTACTATTTCGAAAGGTAATGCTCATATTCAAAAACGACTATATACATCGCTTGGTTCATTTCATGACTTTATTCTGGACACAGGCAGCATAGAGTCCATTATTTCATTCAAGAACTTGAAATCTTTAGATCCTAACGTTGTTGTACGACCGACTGAAGTATCAATATTGGGGATTACTGGACACAGACTGCCCATACGAGGATGTTGTGAATTGCTAATAAGAGATGATAATTCGGCGAGACTCTAATTTAAGGACGACCTTTGAACGAATCTTAAGTGACCTTGACAATTATTAGCCAATCAGAAGAAAGTTAGTATAAAGTGAAAATATATTATATGAAAGTAATGAATTACAGTGGATATTCTCCCTTTACATGATTTAAAAACTTCTCAAAGTTTGGTTAAGGTTCAGAAGTTCTGAATTCACGATGCATATGGGATAGAAACTCGTCCATTGGGTTAGGGTTAGGTTAACGGGTAAGGTTAGGGTTAAGGTTAGGGTTAGGGTTAGTTGTGGGTTAAGGTTTAGGGTTTAGGGTTAAGGTTAGGGTTAGGGTTAGCTGAGGGTTAGAGTTAGGATGCTAACATACGAGTCTTTAAATCATGTAAACGAAGAACATCCACTGTAATTCATCACTTTCTTTTAATACATTTTTACTTCATGTTGTCTTCTTATTGACTAATAATTGAAATTACTCAAACGCTTCTGATTGGCTCATCCTTAAACTAAAGACTCGACGTCCCGTCTATTGTAACCTCTCATTATTCACCTACTCTCTAAAATCCGCTGTGAACCGATCGAATGTTAGCATCGCGTGTTGAACATGGCTCCATGACCTTGAAATTGCTCAAACGCCTCCGATTGGCTCGTCCCTAAATTAGAGTCTCGCCGATAACTCTTCATACATACCTTGTGAATTTCTAGTTGGCGAAACAGGACTGTCAATTTTGGGTTTAAAGAATTTAAAAAGGCTTAAGGTGGAGTTGTCCTTCCTAGTTTCTAAAGAAAATTCGGATACTTTACTTCAAGATTTGATAGCTATGTGTGCTAAGTGCAGTGGAGGTATGAAAATTAAGCCCATGAAAGTTCAAGTACAGGGTGATCCAGTCTTTCTTAAAAGACGAATAATTCCTTATTGTCTTCGAGAAGCAGTACGTAAGGCATTAAACGACTTGTGTGCGAAAGGCATAATTGAACCAATTCAGTCTTCAGCATGGGGTACTCCTATCGTTACTCCACTGAAATCGGAAGGCAAGACCCCTAGAATTTGTGGTGACTATAGATTAACTCTGAATTCCCGTTTGTTGAAGCAAACGTGCACGACGGTAGAAGCTGAAGATATTCTAAATCGACTTCATGGTTCTAAAGTGTTCTCGAAAGTTGACCTAAAAGATGCTTATCTTCAAATTCCTTTAGATGAATCTTCATCTATTTTGACGACAATTAACACTCCTTTTGGTCTGTTCAAATACAATTTCCTTCCATTTGGTCTAAGTTGTTCTCCAGCCATATTTCAGGAAGTTATGAATAAAGTAGTTAGTGATCTTGAAGGTGTTGAAGTTTATCAAGATGATCTCATTGTTCATGGCTCTAATAAGGTGGTTCATGACCAGAGACTTATTGCTTTATTGCGTCGTTTAATTGAGAAGAATATAACAGTGAATCCAAATAGGTGTTCATTTTGTGTATCTAGTTTTGAATGCCTTGGATACCTAGTTGATGGTAATGGTTTTAGACCAGATATGAAACGACTAGCTCCACTGACTTATGCACCGTCTGCGAAAACTCTTACAGAATTACGTTCGCTAGTGGGTGCTCTTCAATACTATTCCCGTTTTATTCCTAATTTTTCTTGTCGTGCAAATTGTTTATTTAATATTTTAACATCCAATTCATTCAAATGGAGTGAGGAACAAGAGTCATGCTTACGAAGTCTGCTGAAGTTTCTTCAAAGTGATGCTGTTCTTCGAACGCACTCCCCTAATGTACATTCTGTGCTTATTGCTGATACATCACCTGTGGGAATTGGTGCAGTTTTGGAACAGGAAGGTAGACCAGTTAGTTGTGTTTCACGCAAACTTACTGTTACTGAACAAAGTTATTCACAGACTCAGCGAGAAGCATTGGCTGTGTTTTGGGCTGTTAAAAGACTTCATAAATATTTATTCGGAAAGAAATTCACTATTGCTACTGATCATGAAGCTTTAAATTTTATTTATCATCTCGAAAAATCCTTAGCACGTTCCTCAGCAGCTATGGTTTAGCGATGGAGTATTGCTTTGAGTGCATATGACTATACGGTTCAGCACAGAAGTGCCAAACAGATTCAAAATGTTGATTACATTTCTCGATAGTCATTACAAGATAAACCTATTAATACTTCGGATTGTTTGTTAGTGCAACCTTTACCAGTGAGACGTTCAGATCTCATTAGAGAAACTCGTAGATATTTTGGATGTATACTCAGTGCTATAAGGAAAGGTTGGAATGCTAATTTGAAACGTAGATTTCCTATCCATTTTTCAAAGCGGGATGAGTTATCTACTACTCTTGATGGTATTCTGTGTTTAAATGATCGTGTTGTCATTCCTCCTTCATTGCGTAAATCTGTTCTTGAAGATCTTCATAGTGGTCATTTAAGTGTTGAGAAAATGAAGTCCTTGGCAAGGCTCACATGCTGGTGGCCAGAGATAAATGCAGATATATGTCGTACGGCAAACAATTGTGAGAAATGTCATCAGTTGAAAAATCATCCTTCGAAGTGGGTGCTATGGCCAGTATCGTCTGAGGCCTGGCAGAGGATTCATGCTGACTATTGTGGACCATTTCTTGGTAAATACTACGCACTAGTAGTCATTGATTCTTTTTCAAAGTGGCCTGAAGTTTTTTTCGCAACTTCACCAAATTCTGGTTTCACAATACAAGCATTAAGAAAGGTGTTTAGTCGAGAAGGGTTCCCGTGGTGTTGGTGACTGATAATGGCTCACATTTTGCTGCAGATGCAGTCACTACCTGGTTGAACGGCATAGGATGCAAACGTCTATTTACTGCTCCCAGACATCCGTGTTCTAATGGTCAGACAGAGAATTTTGTTAGGACATTAAAGACTGCTATTGATTCTATAGCCCCCTTAACATTTAATGAGCTGGAGAGTGGAGTAGATAACTTTCTATTGCAATATAGAAATGCCAGACATTCGGTGACGAAGGAGACTCCAGCGAAACTATTGAAAGGAAGAATTCTTCGGTCGAATATGAGATGTTTGGAGTCTGCAGAAGTTAAATACTATCGAGAAAATGATCTTCGACCATCTACGGGTATTGTTCTGAAGAATGTCGGAAAATCAATGGTGCGAATTCTAGACATCGATGACTTAAGTACACACAGTCGACATGTAGATCAAATACAATTTCAGGAACCAGGTGAGTCAGTTCCAATTTCTATTGTTCATTCTAATGCTAATGAGCATGTAGTGGCATTAGACAATAACCACACAATCCACAAAGCTGAACACAAGACTACTCAGAAAATAGATATTCAATATTTAACGCGGAGAAATACCTAACGATGGCGAAGGCGCAAAAAATGAATTGAATGGACTGGAGTTGATCGAGTGGCATGGCTCGGCCATGCAGGCATGGTCTCTGCTGAATGTTACCTTATATCTTCTATTCATATTAAATATATTGTTCTTTCTCTAGCCTAACCTTGTTCTACATCATGTATTGGTAATTGATACGATACCGTGAGTTGATGTAGTCGATGGCGTGACTTCCACGAAAGATCTTATAGCTTAGGCAGTTATATCATGACAAATCTACAAATTTAGGATTAGGTCTATTATTAGAGCAGTACTAATATCATAGTGGGTCATAATTCTACAGGTATATTCTAGATAATACAGAATCCTTATCCAATACAATGTCAGACAGACTAAGGATGAATTTGAGAAGAGGACGTACGATTGATTACAAACACCTAGATTCCAATTTAAGCTGTGTCGGATGTGGTGTTTGAATGAACCAATGATACCTTTGTACTTGTACTAATCCATTTTCCTTTTCAGGTTCCTCAAGAAATACCCTTCCACGGTGTGGGCAGCCGGGAAGTGACATCAGCCCTCATACCCGTAACAGCACACGAGACCAAGGTGGTCACATTCAAATCCTTCCTACACCTCCTAATACCTCTCTTATCTCCCGACTAACCCTCCTCACGTCTCTTTATCACCTCGCACCGCTAGGGCAAACGATTCGAGTACGTGGAACGCCATTCCTGGTCTCCTGAAACCACGCTCTAAACTACACGTAGGAGCTTTTAACGTACGAACACTTTGCCAAATAGGACAGCAGGCTTCCTTAGCTAAAACTTTAGAATCTCGCGCCATCGATGTGTGCTGCGTCTCCGAAACGCGCATACAGGATCCAAGTAGCGTCATTCATTTGACCTCACCATGCCAAAATAAAGAACCGACTCGATTTACGCTTCGTGTATCTGGAAGCCCTGATTCTGCTTCCCGTGGCCTCGCCGGCGTAGGTATAGCATTGAGTCCTAGGGCAGAACTAGCTCTCTTAGAGTGGATCCCAGTAGACAGTCGTTTGTGCGCTGTCCGACTGAACGGAACAGTAAGAATCCGGAAAGATAGGGACACTCGTCGTTGCCTCTTCGTCGTCTCTGCCTATTCTCCCACTGACTGCAGCTCAGATGATGTAAAAGATGAGTTTTACAGAAAGCTTTCGGACCTTCTCCGAAAAGCTAGCGCTCGGATGTAGTAATAGTGGCCGGTGACTTTAATGCTCAAGTAGGTAAACTAAGCGATAGGGAAAGACACCTAGGTGGATCTTATGGTGTCGTGGCTCAAAGAACAGATAATGGCGACCGTCTGTTGCAGCTATGCTCAGATAACCGCCTGTTCCTTGCAAATACTAACTTTAAGCATAAGGAAAAACATCTTTTAACATGGCGACCCCCTAATTCGTCCCAACGTTGGACCCAAATAGATCACATCGCTATCAGCCACCGATGGAGGGGCTCGATAGAAGACTGTCGCTCATTCTGGAGCACATGCCTAGATTCAGATCATGCTCTAGTGCGAGCGCGTATTTGCTTGCGTCTTACTGGACGTAGGAAAGACGCTGCAAGGAAACCTCTTAGGGCCTACTTAATGATAGTCAAGCTAAGAGTATATTTCAGGAACAACTAGGAAAACAGTTAGGCAGCCATGTATGTGATGCCCACCCCGATGCAGCATGGAATGATATCCGAAAAGCTGTGGAAACAGCAGTGATATCTGCTAGTAAGGTAAACCAGAAGGTTAGGGAGCAACACTGGATCTCAGCAGCATCTATCGCACTGATAGATGCTCGGAAACTCATTCCACCTGGCTCTGAACATAATGAAGAGCGGAGTCAGCTTAAGCGCAAGCTGACAAGAAGTCTACGCAATGATCGCGAACAGTGGTGGGTAGCGAAAGCAAGAGAGATGGAAAAGGCAGCGGCAATAGGTAATAGCAGACAATTGTTCAGACTCGTTAAGGAAACCGGAATTAGGAACCCGACCGTTAGCGAAACAATCTCAGAGAAAGATGGACATATTATTCATTCTCAATCCAGGAGATTGGATCGATGGGCAGAACACTTTAGGGATCAGTTCAACTGGCCTTCAGCCACACTTCGGTTTCCCACGATCTCCAGTCAACCTGAATGGCAAGTTAATGTAGGTCCTCCGTCCCTTTACGAAGTTGAAAAAGCCATAGGAAATCTGAAACGAGGGAGAGCAGCAGGCCCTGACAGGTTTACTCCTGAGATTTTTAAGGATGGTGGTCCAGTATTAGCAATGAGATTAACTGAGGTCTTAGGTAGAATTTGGGAACTGGACGTAATCCCATCTGACTGGTCTCAATCACTGATTGTGCCAGTCTATAAGAAAGGACAAAAGTCCTCTTGTGACAATCACAGAGGAATCAGTTTGACTAATATAGTGTCTAAAATATTAGCTTCAATAATACTTCGACGCCTAACAAAGCTCGTGAAGAGCAGACTAGAGAAAACCAGGCTGGTTTTCGACCTGGACGTGGTTGTATAGATCAGATATTCACACTACGTCAGGTTCTAGAACACAGACACACATTCAGACGCCCCACAATGGTAGTATTTCTCGACCTTAAGGCGGCATTCGACTCTGTTGATCGTGAGGTTCTATGGCAGTGTTTGTCACTGAAAGGAGTACCAAAGAAGTACATTAACCTTATAAAGGCTCTCTACTCGAACACAACTGGTAGAGTGAGAGCTTATGGCGAACTGTCATCAGAATTGATTACCTCAAGTGGTGTTCGTCAGGGCTGTCCACTCTCCCCATTCTTGTTCAACTTTGTCGACGTACTTTTAGAGATAACACTCTCCTCATCTAAATTTACAGGGGTTGAACTTCTACCGGGAGGTTCACTTGTTGACTTAGAATATGCTGATGACATAGTTTTATTTGGTGAAGACGCTGACAAAATGCAGAGTCTTCTGACCACTCTAAGCAACAATGCAAGCATGTTCGGGATGCGATTCTCTCCCTCGAAATGCAAAATGTTGCTTCAGGATTGGGTTACATCGACACCCGAACTAGTGATAGGGAGTGAAGTAGTTGAGTGTGTCGACCGCTTCACTTATCTTGGAAGTCTCATCAGCCCTTGTGGTTTGGTGTGTGACGAAATCTCAGCACGGATACAGAAGGCTCGACTAGCTTTTGCCAACTTGCGTCATTTATGGCGTAGGCGAGATATCCGTCTATCAACCAAAGGACGTGTTTACTGCGCAGCAGTTCGTTCCGTCCTACTTTATGGCAGTGAAACATGGCCGGTAAGAGTAGAGGATATCCGTAGGTTACTAGTATTTGATCATAGGTGTCTTCGAAACATTGCTCGTATATCATGGGACCATCGAGTAAGTAACACAGTTGTTAGGAAACGGGTACTAGGTAAGGATGGCAAATCAATTGATGAAGTAGTGAAACTTCATCAGTTGAGATGGCTGGGACACGTGTTACGTATGCCCAACGACCGACTGCCTCGACGTGCTATGTTCAGTGGTATAGGAGTAGGTTGGAAGAAAGCTAGGGGCGGCCAAACCAAAACATGGCACAAGTCCATGAAGTCACTGACAAGTGGACTGAGTCATGTTGGTAGGTGTAGACTACCTGGTTGGGGACCGCGAGATGATAGCAACCGATGGTTAGAGACCCTGAATGACATGGCTCAAAATCGTTTGCAATGGCGCAGGTGCATCCACTCTCTGTGTTCTCCCAAATTCTAATCTTCTGAATTCTTCATGTCCCTTTTTTCCTCTTTCCAAATTTATTTCACTGGATTATACTCTTTAAATAACATCTCCAAACCCTAATCTTCCCGATTACTGCTTATACTCTTGTACCTCTACCACTACGGGATTTGAATCGACAAATGCATCTCTGTGCTAATGTGGTGTGGCAACTCGAACTGATGTACGTACGTACGAAGTTCTACGTTGTTACTGACTGACTGACTTGTTGAATGCTCGATTTCGAATTCCAAATACAATACATTCGTTTGTGCTTGTGTCTTACTTCTTAATTCAATTGCGTTAATTCTGGGATTCCTAGTTCATAATACAATTCAAATAATTCAAAACATTATAATTTACCATAATAACCGACCATAAACCCTTATTTTTTTAATCGTCTAGAGATCCCCATCATATTAAAAGACTAGTATTTGAACGAAGAATATTCTTTTCGATAAACCCTCTTCAGGTTCTTCAATCATATATCCAGATTATTGATCCGAAAAAACGGCTAAGTTGTGGGCAACAAAGTCTTGAAGTTTAATTGAAAACAATAAGGAATAAACTAAGTAGCAAGCTCCACCTGGAGTCGTTGCTGTGATGACTGTGCGGTCGACCAATAACTACATTAACTCAAAAATGATAATAAAGTTGTTACGTCCAAAAATTAATGTTTTCATATACTAAATATAATTTATAAACACAAGGAAAAGTTACGGACGTTACTTAAATTGACAGGCTTTGGCGTGTCCAGCTGCATTTGGTGTGATAATCCACAATTTTGGGCGATTCATAATTCCAATAAAGGTTGTTGAAATTCCAGCGGTATAGTCAGGTGGAATATTTAATGGAAATATGACTGTGGTCTATAAATGTAGATAACAAATATCTTTAGAGTTCAGTTATCGTAACAACAGGCATTTGAGAACGTGAGATGTGTATTTGTGAGTGGTTGTCAGTGTATCGTGCCATGAAGGATCCAAAACGGAAGAGAAAGTACTCAAGGCCATGCAATTTTAAACAACTTTTACGATCATTTGTAGTAAATGTACAAATTATGAGAATTAACAAAAGAAATGCAAATAATATCACAAACTAATTACAATATTTGTTGTGACTATCTTCACAAGTTTAAAGTGTACAACATAAACGACTGTTATTAATCTAAAAAAATGACTCCACATTACAGTTGGAGACGAATTGTCGTCACTTTTTAAAATATTTTTTGAGGAAGATGAACTAAATTTCAACACCCTTGTAACTCCTATTAAATTTCATCGGTCACTCTGTTCCCCAGAAAATCGATCTGTCTTTTTACCAATAGAAACAACCTTTGTTTCCCTAATGTTCTATGATGTTTATGGAATAATACTAAATGCAGTTTCGAGGAAACAAAGACCATTATTAGAAAAATAAAAATTGTTATAACTTGTGAACCTGTGTGTACTGTATATTGGATAACGCAACGATACCGCTAATCAGAGAACAGCGAATTATCGATCGAACCAGTGACGCATAAAACACGTGCGAGCAGCCTAGAGTCCTGATTGGCCTCAGCTCAGCCAGTTAAGTCCAGAACACCAATCTCAGCCTCTATAATATGAATCATTTATTCCAAACATACTCGGTTTATATATCAATCAAACAGACCACAACGCACCATAAAATATAAACACCATTCGTACAATATTTAGCCAAATGTGGCTGTCAATGAGGAAGATAGTAATTAGTAGACAGGTCATGACTCATGAATGGTAAATCGTATAATAATAGTATATGGGTCAAATTAAAGCTTATAATTAGAGCGACATGAATATGAACAGTTTAGTTACATAACAATTATACGATAAAAATATACTCAGTATTGGTTCATAAATGGATCCAAAAGTTACCATTCATCATTCTTATCTGGATATAACAAAGATGAACCGCAAAAATATAAAGAATAGTCTGCATTCCACAAAGCCAGTATATAGGCTTCAAAATGAATTTAATTTGTTGTAGTCAGGTATTTTATTTCGCGAAAATATTTCCGTAAAAAAATATCAAGAAAAATTTCAAGTGTGATACTGCTGCACCACATTCTGTTTTTAGGAAAACTTAGAGCTCAGATGCATAACCATCATGTCTTGAAATCTTAATTAGTTCTATAACAAGGTGAGAACTAATGGTAACTGTTGGGACCTACTTATGGACTAATACTATATATATATTCTTTTGTATAGTTGTTAAGTAACTTGTTGAAATACTTTATGCTGAGAATTCTATGTTGTACCAAAAATATAATGTTGAATAAAGCTTCTGATAATAACAATAATAATAATAACAATAACAATAATAACAGTAATAATAATAATAATAGATTATGTATATTCACATTTCTCTTATTATAAGCATTATGTTGATCTATAGAGGATTTACTGTTCCTAGGTTATTTCCAGTTTATTAATTACAGTCTCCCAAAATCATATTCACTCTTTGGCTTGATCTTGCACGAATGTTATTTCCTATTTTATGGTGTGATATTGTCTGTTTGGCTGGTATAAAAACCAAGTATGTTTGAAATAAATGATTCGCATAATGGAAGCTGTCATTGGCGTTCTGGACGGGCTAGGAGGAGAAAGAAACAATAAGGATGCTGGGCCGCTCATACCGGTCGATACGTCATTGTTTTGGCACAGTTCCAAGATTGTATAAGTCGTATTCCGATCGGCAAATAAGTCGCGTGATAATTAGCCGGGCTTAAAAGCACAAAACTTTCTCTGTTTTTTTTCTTTACAAACAAGTGTTTTGTTAACGTAGTCGCTATTATTTCGAAGCATAAAATTCCCGAAACCAAAAACCCTCGACCATACAAATAAGAAGACAAAATGAATACCTAAAATAAAGACTAGCACATGACTTCTGAATACAATACGAACAAGAAACAACTATAAATCCCAGAAATGAATTGATTAGCTTGAAGAAACTATTTCATTGAAAGACGGTAACAATCAACATAGTCAATTAGCAAGGTTAAAAGCGAAACGCTTGAGAAACAAACCTTACAACACTTACCCCTAAGATTGGACAGTTAAATATACAGAAACAACTGACATATAGATAAAACTTTATTGTTTACATAGATAAACTGTATAGATACAAAAATAATCAGGAAAACCTATTCTCTGATAATTTGAATACATGATAAAAACACAAAGTTTGATTTAGCTGTACAATGTATTACAAGAGTCTTATTCGACAGTTAGGTTCACCACAATAACAGTAGAGCACTTTAAATGGTACTGCATCAACAGTATACCCATAGTCCCAAGTCATTTCTTCTCCAACGTCTATATTCCTGAAATTTATGTAGATAATCAATACGAAAAATATCAGTGTGATGTAACTCACCACTTAAAATATAACATGATACTGCATAACAATAATTGCACATTAGGAATGACTCCATTTCTTGATATCTCTTAAAAAGTGTAATTTTATACACTGTTGAAGGTTGATTTAAAGGTGAAACTACAGTGAATACTTCAAAGAAGTGAGAGTAGGAAGTTTCAACAAAACTATCTTACAGAGTTTCGGTTTGTATTCTTTGATGAACAAATGATTTTTAGGTAATAAGAACACTTTACAACGATAGTTCATCCCAATGTGTATAAAAGAGTCTAACTACTTTTGTATGACATATTACGTCACCTGCACACCAGATGTTTCTTCGAGAAAGCATGTTGCCAGACTACCACGAAAAGGATCTAAAGCTATCAATAACGCATCATCGATAACCAGTCTACTTAATTCATACTGCTAAAAAGACAAGCAATTAAAAGTAGCAACCACACCATCTCACAAAAAGTTGATAATCACGAAGTTCATTTATTTCGACATAAGCTGTAAGACCAATCCTTAATTTTGATAGTTTTTATTAGGTTGGTCATTGATTCGCTGTCATCTTTCAACTTTTTTTCTTCATCTTCCTAATTGTCAGGTGAATAATTGACCATCTTATTTGTAAACAGTTCTCAAGTTGTTGAAAATAACAACTTTTATAGAATTTCTTTGATATTATTTAATCTCAAAATTATGATACATAACATCAGTGTTTGAAACATTTCCACATGTAATCAGATCATTTCTATAGCTATGTATACGTCAACACATTATTTCGAAAAAAAAAACACCGAACGTTTCCAGATGAAATGGTTTGACTAAACAAATAAATAAAGAATATTTGAGTCAACAACTGTTATTACTATCAGGCTCTACAGAAATTAAAAAAAAAACTGTTGTTGCAGTCTTGGCGTTAACTACATTACTGAACACATGTAAAAAACCAAATCTTTTCATCAATTGAGCAAAAATTTACCCTACTAGATTACTAATAGCTTATATGAATGATCGATTGAAATTAAATGAAAATAAAAATCACATATCTGAGCTTTTCATTAGTTTTAAAACGAACGTCATAAACAATAGGATGACAGCAAACTACTGATTAAAATTTCAACTAATAATTAATTTCGATAGAGCAATAAGAAGACGGAGTTGATCTGAAAAATGTGATTCGCGCTATATATTTCGAACAATGTGGCCAATTGTCCTTTTGACATACCTTTGGGTCGAAAGGAGGATGGTACTATGACACGGTCAGTTTATAGGAAACCAACTTGGACGGGGCAATATTTAAATTCCCATAGTTTCTGATCATGACAATAAGTGCAAGGCTTGACTAGGTGCCTCTTTAATAGGATTTGAAGAATTTACACTACTGATACGGTTGAGGAAGATGGCAAGATGCTGACTGACACACTAAAGTTTACAAATGAGTGCAAAAATCAGTCAACGCCAAGACCTTTCGTTTATTCAGTTCCAAAGAAAAAGGCTTATATCTATCAACTATATAGAGGTGAATCCAATGGTACAGTTTTAAGACAGGGATTGAAAGCAACCATCGAGAAAACTTATTATGCTGCTAAACTGGTTGTGATTGAAAAATCTAAGACCATGATTTCAAATAGACCTAGATAATGAACAAATGATTACTTTACATCTCATTGTATTTACCAATTTACATGTTTGTGCGGACACATGTACATAAGGAGTAATCGAACAATACAATCAAGCGTCATTGAACATACACCTAGATGGCTTCAAAACCAATTAGTGTCAAATGATCCGATTAACGTGGGAGGTAGAATGCTATGTTCATCGATAGCGAAACATATAATCGAAAAGGGGTACAAAATTTACATCAATACAGCTTTTAAAACATTGTGTAGAAATTGTCAAGGACGAATTCTCCTCTTTAAATTTCTTATTCTTTCTATACGATGTAAGGATTTTCTTCTCTCTCCTTTATTACTGTTTTTACTCGAACCTTCATTTCATTGACAGGTATTAATTTTCATATAAAATGCCCTGACAAATATATATATGACCAGATTGTTCGAAATTTATGGTGCAAACACATCACATTTTTCAAATAAACTCCGTCTTCCCATTGATCTATCAAAATTTAAGAAAGGGACTAATTGCTTTAATAATTAATTATCCTCACAGTAAAATAAGCCTTTTTAAAGAAAAAGTACCTTTAGGATAAGTCTATTCATATTATATTACAACATATTACTCATATACGTGAATGTAACATCAGGCTATATCACTAAGTGACGTGCAAACATTAGACTAATTATCCTAGGACATGAACTACAATATTTATTAGTCACGTTTTATGCTAAAAAAAATAGTGTCACCTAAGACAGTAACAAACATCTAGAAAATACATTATGGAAATCTCTACTTGTAAATTTACATCAAATCAATTTATGTTTATTCTCTTATACAATAATGAGTGGATGGTGAAGAGTTTACCACGTCATAAACATGGGAAAATGCAGTTTTTATTACTAATTATTATTTATTTCCTTGTAAAGCTACTTAAAATTAAGAAAAAAAGAACTTTGAGATATCACTAATTTGGCAGGGAACAATATTGGAATTAGATAAATAGGCAAAATGAGAAAAATATAAACGAACCGTTTTGCAAAGAAAGCAACTTCAGGAAATCGAGGATCATGTGTATCAATGAATACATTTTGAACAAATACATTTGGATTGCATGAATGGTTAAAATAGCGTCCAAGATTTCCCATTTTCTTAGCATCCATAATATATGGATTGATATCATCAAAATATGTTCTTGCTCGTAGCCAGTCTTTTTGAGCAACAGGATACATACGTTTAGTTTGTTGTTGATTTTGTTGATGAGACTGTGATAGCTGTTGAAACTGTTGTTGTCGATGATTTCTATGGTGATGATGATGATGGTGTTGGCGACGATGTTGTCTTTCACTGTCTTTCCGATGTGATTTTGAACGTTCTAGTGGTTTTCTATCCTTGGTTTCAGGTTCTAAACTAGCTGAACGTTGAACTGAAGATGAAAAATCCGCCTCATTAGCAAATGAGCAAGCTTTTAAATGTAACGATAACTAATTGATTTTAATTAACTTAACTCGATGATCACATATGAATTCTTTCAAATGGTGATGGCTACATGATATGGCGAGTAATAGCTTAGATCAATGGGAATGACATATCAAACTGATTTGTTACCAATCGTGTATGACATGTATTCACCATATCTTAAGAAGGATTATAGATGAATAATTATATAATGTTGCAAACATGTAGTTACACAGTAACTTATTGAATTATTATCGTTAAATATAACTCAATTTATTTTATAGAAATCTGACTGTTAATCTAACTGTAAATAAATCATATAAAATGTGATGTATTTTTAAATCAATTAGATTTATTTTGGAAGTTAAATAAATCCTGATCATCAGTCTCTGATTTTGAACATCACATCTTTTTTTGTGTGTCTAAGTTGCCGTGTACGTTCAGTATGGAGTTACTAGAAGCGGTTAGGAAATCGAATCAAGCGTTCATTTTGAAGACTTATCGCTACATAAACCAAATAAAATGATAATCTACAAATAATATATTAGAATCGTGTACTTATTAGTTTTTCTTCCCAAACATCCAAACAATATACACCTTGAATGACCACTAACAATATCATTTCATGAAGAAACAAGGGAATTATTTGATCAAAAATATGAACAAAAACTTACTTTTATCACGTCTGCGTAATTCTCTAGCAACTCGATTGTTCTTCTCATCACTAAACACAAAATAAATGTTAGAATTTCAACAAACTTTCTCTGTATTGATAATTATAATGAAATGATCTAATTTAAATCAAAACACTTGAATAGTAAGAAACAAAAATGTTTTGATGAATCCCACATTAAAGTATTCCTTTTTGATTGATTCATTGAATAAGAAAAGCCTATGGAAAAAAGAATATGTGCTGAAGAAAAAAGATTAATAATGTAACTCGAGAATATTAGACGATAAGTACTAGGTTCCAAAGGAAATGAAAACATCATAAGAATATCATTTAGATCCATGAGGCTGATGAGTTTTGAATAAATTGAGATATATGTTCCAGTCTGTAGTGTTACCAAATATGTAAAATCAACAAATTTTTTTTAAGATTTTAAGGCAAAATAATGATTAATTTGTCATTTATAAAAATCGTATTTACTAATGTAACGCTATTCATTTAACTTACATTTCAGACAAACTTTTTCCAGATTTTGAAATTTCCTTGCTTATTGGTGGGGTAGAGGGACGTACAGCTTTAAATGAACTTGTTGAACGGACACGTCGAAGTCTTAATTTAAGGCTACCTTGATGCTTATGTGATGATGAATTCGCAGATACTGAAGTGACTTTCGATGTATCACCAATTGTTTCTAACTGGGAATCACTAAAAATAAGGAATATGAATCGAAGAGAAAACTTATATCCATATATATATATATATATATATATATATATATATATATATATATATATATATATATATATATATATATATATATATATATATATATAAAGTACCGGCTTTGAGCCTTAATGTAAACATCAACTCTGGAATGGAGATACAACCTGAAAGAGTACCAAATAAGACGGAACCCACGTCTTGGCATACGATTGTTAACCGTAGTTCAACTCGAATAAATCCGTTTGCATAAAAAAAGTTAAAATGGGTTGACACTATAAAAGTTTAAATAAATATGGGCCGTGTAAGGTCATTTCGAGTTAGTATTACAATTTGGGCAAAGACTAGCTCAAGAAATACCTATTAATTATTGTTATTATGTCTCTGATACAAATAGGAAAAATATTTAGTCTTGAATATTTTGTGATTCAATTTCAAACATCACCATCGCTAGGATTTTATACAAAACAATAAAAGTTAGCTAGTTCTTGAAGTTCCACTAAGTAAAATAGGAGTTTTATGCATATAAAGTGAATCACGGAGTAACGAACAGTAAGCAAGAATCTAAGACAGTAAAAAAACGTCCTCTACCAACGAAAACAAAAGAGGAAGATACACTAAATCCATTGAAAATAACTTTCTTGAAGATGGTAGTTTTAATTTATAGCTAGTAAACTTGTCATACATTTATCATTAATGACATCAACCAGACAGCTATTGTAAATCGAAAAGCACCGAAATTGAAAATGTGAGTCTTCGAAATCTGACTAAGTGTAAATAATTCTGTCTTCAAACTCAACCGAAAGGTTGTGTATGTACAGTGCTGTTGAGTTCCTAGAACTGTGAAGAAACAATCATTTAACAATTTTAAGTTGACGTCAGATTGTAAGGAAAATTACTAACGAGATATACATAAAAAATATAAATAGTATGAGCGAAAACAATTTTCAAAATTACAAACTTTTCTAAAGTGTCAACTTTTGAAATTTTAAGATCCTTCTTTGAATCACCACTATTTGTTGAACTATCACAATGTTCATTTTTAACGTCTTCCTTTACTTCAACTGGTAATTCAAATTTAGGCTTTGAATCATCATTTGAAGACTTTGTATCATCACTATTGATTATTACGTTTTTCATTTCTATATCATGGTCTTCTTGTTTAATGTCTACATAAGTACGGAAAAATAACATTAGGACAATAACTAAACATTTAAAGGATATTTTCATTATACGTTTCATATAACCGGTAGCTAACTGATTACAAAAGATAGGCCTACAAAAAAATTTACCAACTGATTGCTCCAGAAAGTAAGTTATCAATTCTAACTATATAATAACAATGAAATACAATAAAACAACAATGCAGATCATAATATCTGGTTTTTAGTAGTAGTAATCGAATGTCCGGCGCTTTAGCCAGGTCGATGGACACGGTGAGTCCAACTAGGGGCGTTAAAAACCCTGATCTCAAACAAATGGCGCAAATGGGCTCCAGTATCCTGAAGGAACAAATGTCGTATGAACCAATTATTGGACACCGACTACCATGGAACTGCATCTCCTCACGATGCTCCACTGCCTTGTGGGTCAGACCTTTAGGTCAAAGGCTCGGGGTGTGGCCCCGGGGCAGTATCACAGCCCAGAAACAGATAAAATGAAATGACGATATTTACTGAAAATACTATTCACGCTTCGATAAACAGTCAAACGATTCACATTATTATTATTATTACTATTATTATTACTATGTACCAAGTCACTTATTCACTCCCTTTTATTCCCGCTTTGTGTATCCTTATTTTTCAACTTACACAGCAGCTCGCCTATGGTGGAAACTCGATTCTATCTAAACGATCTCAAGTCACTGACTGGTCGGAAATCGAATGCAAATACTGAAACAGTTTTTTTCGAAACCCTGTGACATCTTCATTTGGACTTGCTGGCGAGTCGCTGACGTGGCCGATGGGGACTTGTTGGTCGCAGGACAGATAACGGAGACCGTCTACTGCAACTTTGCATAGACCACAAACTGTTTCTGACTAGCACTAACTTCCGGCACAGTCATCGCCGATGTGCCACCTGGCGTCCTCCCGCTGCATCTCAAGCCTGGACTCAGACTGATCACATCGCGGTCAGTTACCGCTGGCGTGGTTGTGTACAAGACTGCCGCTCCTTTTGCAGCACCTATCTGAACTCTGATCATGCCTTCGTCTGCGTTAATCTTACCTTACTTTTCAGTGGCCAACGAAGTAACCGCTATCAACGGATTGATGTCAGCAAGCTGGTTGCAACTTCTGTTGCAAGTAGGTATCGAACCGAGCTAGCTTCTAGGCTAGCTACCACTCCACCGAAAAGTATAGATGAGCATTGGTTGCAATTGCATGACGCCATGAAAATGGCGGGTACAGTCAGTTGTGGGTTCGTCAAACGTCCCGTTTATAAACACTGGGTTTCTTCAGGTTCCTTACAACTCGTCGAAGCCCGTCGGTCTACTACGGGTGACTGTGAGTTTGACCATAAACGAAGGATGTTACGTAAGGAGATTGGGCAAAGCTTGCGTAAGGACCGAGAAGCCTGGTGGTCGATGCGTGCTAATGAGCTGGAAGCAGCAGCTGCATCTGGTAACTACCGGAAGCTCTTCCAGCTCATCCGAGCCACTGGCAGCAAGAAGTCTGGTGTGAGTGAAACAATCTGCGAGGATGATGGGATGCCAATCACTAACACCCATCGACGTCTTGGACAATGGGCAGAATTTTCCGAAGGGCAGTTCAACTGGCCTGCTGCTCCGGCAACATCGATCAAACTGTCCTGCCCTCCATGATCTGTGACGACGGATTCACCAAATGAGGCGAAAGTCCGCAAGGAACCCCAACTCTTGATGCGCTACAAATCACCTGACCCAGATGACTTACCTCCTGCTCATTTTAAAGATGGTGGTGAATTTCTGGTTAAGGAAATGACGACGTTGTTTACAAAGGTCTAGGAGCTAGAGAGTGTACCAACGTCATGGAATGAGTCGATAGTTCTGCCTATCTTTAAAAAGGGTTCACGTCGTCCCTGTAACAACTATCGGAGGATAAGTCTACTTCCAATTGCGTCCAAGCTATTGGCTTCCGTCATACTTCGTAGGTTGTTCAAAACTCGAGAAAGATTGACTCGCGAGGAGCAGGCTGGTTTTCGCTCCGGTCGAGGATGTATTGATCATATCTTCACCCTCCGCCAAATGTTAGAACACCACCATACTTATCAAAGGTCAACAATCGTAGTGTTTCTTGACATTGGGGCTGCCTTCGATTCGCTGGATAGGACTGTTCGCTGGGATTGTCTATTGAAGAAGCGTGTGCCTAAAAGCCCTATATACAAACATCTCAGGCAGAGTGAGGGCATACAACCACCTTTCTCCATTGTTCCATTCGAGCAGTGGGGTTAGTTAGACAATCTCACCAGCCCTCTTCAACTTTGCCATCGATGACATTCTGAAAACAGCTCTGATGGATTTAAGTAATGGCGGTATAGATCTGTTGCCTGATGTACGAAGATGTCTCCAGTCACTTAATTCATCTCGATATTTGGGACCTGATGGTATCCCAAACATCCTTTTTAAAAAATGTGCTGACGTCCTATGTTATCCGTTCACAACTATCTTTAACAGATCCTTCTCATCTAATCTCATACCGAAAATGTGGAGAAAGATGAAGATAATTCCTGTACCCAAGAAAGCATCTGGTGATAAGAATGTGAAATTTAGACCTATTGCAATAACTTCACCCCTCCTCAAAACAATGGCAAAATTATTAATACTTCCACTTCAGCCTGCGATAAAAGAGTATATTGATCCATATCAGTTTGCTTACAGATGCAAAAGAAGCATCTTAGATGCTGTTGCTGTTCTGCATCATAATATATTGTTCAACTTAGAAAAGGGTAAGAAGTATGTTCGATGTGCTTCTCTGGTCTATACTTCAGCTTTTGATTCTATACCAAGACAACGTTTACTTAACAAGTTGATCAGTGTCAACACTGACAGCTGGATAACAAACTGGCTATGTTCCTACCTCTCTGGAAGGGAACAGTACACTGTATTTGGAAGAAAGTGTTCAGTCTCTACTGTCTCATGAAGGTGTACTACTGTAGTGAGGAAGAACACGGTTGAGGACAACCAAATTGTATTTAGGACAAATTACAGAATTACTTGGTAAAATAGAAAAACTATATAGTAAATCGTTAATTTGCAAAATATCATTCTATCATATCTAATGTCTCGCATTTCATTGTTCATGCGATTTCTTACAAATTCCATTGTTTTCTCGCTCTTCTTTTCTTGATCTTCTCCATCTTCTGCTGCCAGACATTACGCTCTTTTGACTCACGTTATATACTACTTATATCAATATAAGTAGCACGCACCACACTCGTCCCCCCTTTTAACAAGTTGCTGTCGTAGTCTTTCTGATCTCCGTACCGCTGTGTTCTTTGGTGCTTTTCGTGATTCACACCCATGATGATCTTGAAACCATCTCTGTAGTTGACTAGCATTTACGCGCTTCTGCTTGTCTTCTCTCCGAATAGTGTAGACCGAGCCGCGTCTCTCCGTTATAACATACGGTCCTTCCCATTTTGGGGCCAGCTTCCCCGACCCTGCTCCCCCTGCTATGTTACTTTTTCGTTCTCTACACTTTACTAGGTCCCCCACTGCAAATGGTTTCCACGTTCTCCTCTGTTGTTCTGCCTTCTTTGTGTCTGATATTTGTTTCTTTTTCACGTTCCTTATTGCCTCTCTCCTCTCTTTTCTTAACCTTGTTGTCGTCCACTTCTGTTGTTGTGGCCAGGTCTTATTATGCATTGGAAGTCGTGGTTGTCTGCCATACATGAGCAAGAAAGGTGACTTCTTGGTTGTTCCTTGTGTGGAGGAACGATGTGCCAGCAAAATCAATGGTAACTCTTTCTCCCAATTTCCTCCTTTTGATGCTAACCATTCCTTTAACGTCCGATTGTTTCTCTCTGTAAGCCCGTTTGTCTGAGGATGATACGGTGTAGTTCGTATTCTCTTGATGCCAAACTGCTTTAAACGGGCTTTAAACTCGTCACTTTCAAAACAGGGACCCTGGTCAGTTAATATCATCTTCGGTATTCCGTGACACGCTACAATATGCCGGATTACCACCTCGGTCACTGTCCTTGCCCGCTGGTCTGCAATGGGTACGGCATCTACCCAACGTGTAGCATGTTCCGTCATCACTAACAGGTACTGGTTACCGCTCGCCGTCTGTGGAAACGGTCCCATCACATCCACCGACCATAGATCACCGACTGCGGTTACTGGGATTGACTGTAATGGCGGTTGTGTGTATCGATCGCTTTTCATTAGCTGACACTGCTGGCAGGTTAACACGTATTCAGCCACATCTTCTCTCATGCTCGGCCAGTATGCACTTTGTCGTAGTAAGTCCGTCGTTCTTGCGATGCCTGTATGTGCTACCTGGTGACACTCGTGTATCACTTTGCGCCGCCAGTCTTTCGGGATCACCGCCACCCAATTTTCATCATCGTCCTGCCAGGTCAGCACTCCATATGAGTTCACTCTCAGTCGGTCCTTTTGCCGAAGCAGCGTTATTACCTCCTTGTCCATTGTTCGTTTATCTACGTCTGCTCCCTCTTTTATCACTCTGATTACCTCTCGAAGGTTAGGGTCAGCTTTCTGCTGCCGGACGAGTTCTAATGGGTCTCCCTCTAAACTATTCACCGCGTATGCTGTTAATGGCAGGTCGGCTTCCATGTCTGGTCTTGACAAGTAATCTGCCATTACGTTTTCTTTTCCTGGAACATGGCCGATACTGAAATCGTATTCTTGCAGGCGTATCATCCATCGCGCCAACTTCCCTCGGGGGTCTCTTGCTGTTTTCAACCACTGCAGGGGTTTATGGTCGGTCTCAATGTGAAATCGTCTACCTAAAAGGTATGGTCTCCATTTTTCCACTGCCCACACGATCGCTAAACACTCCTTTTCGATGGTTGAATACTTCTGTTCAGCAGGTGTGAGGACGCGACTCGCGTATTCCACCACTCTATCAGCCTGACTCAACACAGCACCTATACCATGATCACTCGCGTCTGTGGCCACTGTAAACAGTCTTCCCGGTTCAGGCAGTCTGAGCGTCATCTGGCGATCGTCTAGCATGTTTTTGATTCGGTTGAACGTTTGTTCGGCAGTCTCAGTCCACGTAAACTTGGTGCTGCTTAATAACTTATATAAGGGTGCTGCTATTTCGTTGAAATTCTTGATAAACCGACTGTAGAACGCCGCTCTTCCCAGGAACTGTCTCAACTTCCTTTTCGAATTAGGTACTGCAATATTTTTTATGGTAAGAATTTTCTCCGGCAATGGTTTTATTTCTCCATTTCCCACTTTATGTCCCAACAATGTGACGCTACTTCTCGCTATCTGCGACTTGTCCTTATTAATCCGAAGTCCAAATTCGTCAATTCGCTTTAAGACCGCTTCCACATGCTTGATGTGATCTGTTTCTGTTTGACTGTACACAACTACATCGTCGCCATATACCTCGACATTATCTAAATTCTTGAGCAGTAGTGTCATTAATCTTCTGAACGTGAACGGTGCACCCGCCAACCCGAACGGCATTCGTTTAAATTGATACTGTTTATCACGTACAGTAAACGCTGTCTTGCTTCGATCACTCTGTTTTATAGGCAGTTGCCAATAACCTGACCGTAAATCCAGCACTGTAAACACCGTGGCATTCTGTAGCCGATCTAATGTTTCCGCCACTGTTGGCATTGCACAAGGCTTCAGGTCTGTTATATTATTCAATTCTCTGAAGTCGACACAAAATCTATACTTTCCATTTGGTTTCTTTACCAAGAGTACCGGCGAGCTATATGGACTGTCCGCTTCCTCAATTATACCTTCTTTTAACATTTCCTGGACCTGACGATTTACCTCGGCCTCTAAATGCACCGGGACACGACGTGTTGCAAATATATTTACTCGACTGTTCTTTATCGGTATTTCGTGCTTTACTCTGTCACAATATCCATACGGCTCCCCATCTCCAGTGAATAGTTTGGCATACTTTTTGCATAACTCGTGAATGTTTAGCTTCTTTGACGAGACATCCGCTGCAACTCTTATTTCAGCAACTTCGCTACTTTCGTGTATTGTCAATGAACCATATTTCGTGACCACCTTACCGCTTCTTAAGTCAACTATCGCTTTTACTTCTCTTAGGAAATCTGCTCCTAATATCGGTCTCGATAAACTTGTGGTTACGACGAACGGAAAATTTATCTCAGCATCCCCCACTTTTACGATACTGTTAGATACGCCAAACACCTCTAACATATGGCCCCCTATCGTGTGGACAGCTAATGTACACGGCTTGATTCTCTTACATTGCTCTTTGCCTATTAACGATACTGCTGCACCTGTATCGATCAGACAAACTAAATCTCGCTCATTTATGTTCACTCTCGTATATACTGCCCCTCTGTCTACTAACGCAACAATCCCCAGATTCCTAGGATAGAAAGAACAATCGTTGTAACGTCTAACATATCTGCGTTTTCGTCTTGTTGGACAGTTTATCTTCCAATGTCCTGTCCCTCCACAAGCGTAACATTTATCGTTCCTTTTATTGTTCACTCGTATTGCTGCAATCTCACGCTCCAGCTCCTCAATCTTCTTCTCGACATTACTCATCTCCTGCTTTTCGCACCCTACTGGAGCTACTGTTCGCGTCATCAGCTGACGAGTCACCTTCGCCAGTTCACTGATATCCATCGGTTGCGCTGCGTTCACCAGTTTCAGTTGTTGGGAGACGGTGGCAGGCACACTCTCGATAAACTGTGACGCCAACAACTGTGCCTCCGACTCCTCATCCAGACTCGGCAGTGCACGGCGTAACAATCTGGTAAGCTCCACAGCCAGCACCAGTGGGTCACCATCGACCGGCAACCTCGCCAACCGGAACTTCTGCAGCGCGTTCTCTCTGTCCACTGGGCTGTCAAACTCCGCCGCCAACCGCTCCGTGACTGCCTCCCATGTCGTCTTCTCGCCAGTACCGTCCAAGCTGTCATACACAGCCTTCGCCCTGCCTCTCAGCAGCGTCCCCAGCACCACCAACTTCGCCTTCGGCTCCTTCACTCCCACCAGCTCCGCCACGGCCTCAAACTCCTTCAGGAAGCTCAGCACATCTCCGTCCTCAAACTCCTTCGGCCACGGAATCTTCATCCTTAGTGGAGGCAGCGACACCAAATGTAGTGAAGAAGAACACGGTTGAGGACAACCAAATTGTATTTAGGACAAATTACAGAATTACTTGGTAAAATAGAAAAACTATATAGTAAATCGTTAATTTGCAAAATATCATTCTATCATATCTAATGTCTCGCATTTCATTGTTCATGCGATTTCTTACAAATTCCATTGTTTTCTCGCTCTTCTTTTCTTGATCTTCTCCATCTTCTGCTGCCAGACATTACGCTCTTTTGACTCACGTTATATACTACTTATATCAATATAAGTAGCACGCACCACACTACAAGGAGCTGTTCTTTCACCTCTTCTTTTCTCTTTTTTCTGCATGATCTGCCATCTTCCACAGAAAACACTTTTGTGAAATATGCGGATGATCTCACTGTATGTATGCCTATATCTTCCTCCTTACATCCCATAGAAATGAATGAGTTTTGGTCTCGTATTGATTGTTGGTCTGTTGGTGATGGTCTCATACTTAATCCGTCTAAATGTCAACCTCTTAACTTTAGCAGGAGACATGAACGGAATCTAAACACCATTTTGAGATCCCATAATGCTGGTACCATTGGAGACTCCTTGATAAACACAGTGTCACAGGTCAATTATCTTGGTGTCACTTTTTCCTCTGATCTGTCTTGGTCATCCCACGTTTTATTGTTATCGAAGAAAGTTTTCCGTCTGACTTACTACATAAAGAGACTGCATGCTCTTGGGATTACTCGTCATTTATCCTTACAATTTGTCAATTCTTGCATATTACCTATTATTCATTACTGCCATTAATAATAATAATAATAATAATAATAATAATAATAATAATAATAATAATAATAAGAAGAAGAAGAAGAAGAAGAAGAAGAAGAAAGACTTCCCGACCTTGAGTATGCGGACGATATTGTCTTACTGTGCGATAATGCCCAAGTCATGCAATCCGCACTTAATCAGTTAGCAATCAGTGTCCGTAGGTACGGTATGAGCTTTGCATCTTCGAAGTGCAAAGTACTTCTACAAGACTGGCAAAATTCTAATCCTGTACTCTCTCTAGATGATGAGCAGATAGAAGTAGTCGAGAAGTTCGTGTATCTGGGTAGCTGCATAAGTGCTGGTGGGGGTGTGAGTGACGAGACCAATGCACGTATAGTGAAAGCCAGAGCGGCTTATGTCAATCCGGGCCATCTTTGGCGCATTCGTGATGTTAGTCTGGCTGTAAAAGGTCGGATCTACAACGCGTCGGTGAGAGCAGTTTTGCTCTATGCTTGTGAAACCTGGCCCCAACGATTTCAGGATGTTAGACGACTCTCTGTGTTCGATCATCGTTGTCTCCAAAGGATTGCTGACATCCAGTGACAACACCATGTCAGTAATGCAGAGGTTCGGACACAGAGACGACAATCCGATTGATGTCACCATCTTGAAACACCGACTTCGGTGACTTGGACATGTTCTACGAATGTCGTCCCAGAGAATTCCACGTCGTACATTATTTGCCGACTCTGGGACTGGTTGGAAAAAGCGGAGAGCTGGTCAGTATATGATACGGTGTCGTGGTATGAAAGAAAGCTGCAAAGGGCTGGCTTCTGTTAATCCTTCACGACTCCCTGGTTGGGGTCCTAGAGATGGTGCAACACAATGGCTAGAGACGTTATCAGATATGGCTCAGAATAGAAGCCAGTGGCGATCCTGCTGTAACCTTCTTTTACTTTCTTCGTAAAAAGTGGTTGTGTCTTCCTTAACTGAAAGAATTCTTCTGGTTGTGCCTTTCCGTTTCCCCCATTATTATTATTACTACACCACCACACACTTATCTGCGATCGTTATTGTTTTTTTCTTATATGCACCTTACCTTCTTTTTCTTTTCCCATTCTCTTTGTTTTGTGTGGCGCATATATATTTGGTGCCCTCCTTGTACCAATATTTATGTATTCAGATAAATAAATAAAAATAAGTAAGTGGCAAGTTCTGTATATTGAATGGTGAAATGACATCACTAAGCCACCCATCCAACTTTACTCAAATAAGTATGATTTAAATGTAAAATACTACAATAATGTTTTTATGATAACTTCATAAAGAATCATGGACTATAAAGCTTTAAAAAATGTCTATTACAGTCTAGCTCAATGAAAATTGTTTTAACAATATAAACCCGATAAGTGTGTTGCTTTGGCTTTTATAAACCTGCCTTATTGCTTGGTATGATAAATGGTCAGTGATAGGAAAAAGTAGGTTTTAAAAATATATTTAAATCTATCCTCTAATTCAGTTTGGAGAGAAGTGTAGTCTTCATATGTTCAACAAAAATACTGAATATCGGTACAAATGCCATAATCAGAACTCTAAAAGTGAAATTGGCAGTAATTAGGTGAATCCCAAACTAGCGAAAACTGAAGTACGCGACTACAAGTCCATAAATAAAAAAGTCATACGTTACGAGATATCGGTAAGTGGAAAAGTAAACTCACCATTTTCTAAACGACATAAATGTACTACTGGTATACGACTGAAATCCGATTCACGTAATAATTGTCTAGCATTAAGTAATAATCGAAAACTACGTGGTAAACTGGCTGCTCGATTCGACCAAAAATTTTAAATTCACTCTTATTAGCCGAAGAGTTGGTTGATAATGACTTTGATCTAGATTTTATGGATTTATTTTTCAATTTTACTTGGTTTGAATATTTACTAATTTTACTAAACATAGAATGAAAATGTGAAATCGATGTATCTTCTTTTTCAACAACAGGGTATAAATTAACTTGAACTTTCGGTTTTATCGGTTTGTAATGCTTAGACGATTCAAATTTTTTCATTTCTTTTGAGTTTTACTAACTAAAGCCTTTGACTGAGTATCATTTAAACTGGAGTGTGATGATTGATTTGAAATGTTTGACAATTCAATAGTTTTTGGTTTTTCCAGGCTATTTTTTGTTGGAATAATAGTTTCAGATATTTCTTGAATCACATCTTGTACAGTGCATCGAGATCTAATCGATGCAATTTGTTCATTGTTATTTCCATTAAAAATTATATTCACTTTAGGATTTTTAGATTGACTTTGAATACTAGATATTGTGTTATCTGATAAATTATTTTCATTTTTGCCAGCTTCACTATAGACAACATGTGACAAATTAGACGAGTCCAGTATTTCACTACATAGGTCAACAGATGATGGGATAACTTGATTGGTATCTCCACACTGTACATCAGGATAGGTTATTAGGCTACTTGTCTGTTCTAAATCACCAGAGATATATGGTAGAGGTGAGTTGTGCTTTGTTCTAGGGCGTTCCGGTGAATCATTCATGATATCATTATGTATTTCTTTAGTGTTTAACGTTGAAGAAATATTCTGAATATATTTATCTGATATTTTACTAGTAGGGTTTTCGGTAAGTTTTGAATATATTGGAGGTAATGAAATTCTTTTTTTCTGTTTCCTTTTCTCCTCCTTTTTGTGTTTCTTTTTCTTAATACGAACACTAACAGAATTGTGAGTCTGTTGAACACTAGTCTGTGTTAAATCATTATCTGTGTTCAAACACGACTCACTGCTGTCGTAATTTCTATTCAACAATAATGGTTTTGTTGAATTTAGTGCATTACGACTAGACGAATTACTGCTTATTTCACTGCTTCGACTTGTCTTATCATCATAATTATTATCAACATCATCATCATCATTCTCGTCAACATCAATGGCTGTTGATTCTGATACAGGTGAAGTTGCACTGCTTGTATTTCGCCTATTATCCGATTCAGATTCATCCTTATAATTATCGATAGGTGTATTATTGCTCGTGGTAGTACTGTTGCTACGAGAAGAATGAACCCGTTGATCAGTTATAGTAGAAATGTGTGACACTTTATTTTCATCAGTAAATTTTTTGGTATCACTAAGAGCAATTGTTGTCTCATTTAGTATTTCACTTAAATCTTCAACCGTAGACTCATAACCTTCTTTGTCTTTTTCAACTGTTTCAATGTAATCTAATTCAGCTTGATATTCATCGCCACAATCAAAGCCTTCCTAGTGTAATGTGAGGAACAATAGATTTAAAGTGTGGTAAAAATTGTGGCAAAACAAAGGTATCAAAAAACGAAGGGTCTAACATTACTAAAAATACATAAAGTGTGCTAATTAAGTAGAAAATAAGTTATAGAGGATAGCCAGAAGAGAAAATACAGAAGCCCATTATTAGCATAAAATAATTCTGACGAAACTCTACTAATCCGAGTTTTGACATTTACAGGACTAAATTAATCTAGTAACAATGGATATCAGTTAATGTTCATAGACTTCTATAACTTTTATTCCTTAAAGTCATGTCTACAAAGGGCCTACTTCAGTTCAAAATACATTCGCACACTGAAACATTCAAGATTATCGGCGGGAAGCATTAACAAAATATTTTTAGGGTAATTGATTTTCATTAGATTAAATTATATTGACTAATTAGCCACTTAAATGCTACCAATATTTTCATCTAATTGTCAGTGATAATGTAATCTCGATAATTCGAAATTACCATAAGACAATGAATAAAATGAACCAAAGGATATTGGCATGTTTAATACTCATAAAAACAATAACCAGATCGAAATGTCTAGCAATAAAATGAAAACCTATACAGTTAATTCATCTCTGAAATTACTTAGTGGCCATTTAGAAATGTTATTTGCTACGATACAGTAGAAAAAAGTTGAAAACAACCTAAATCCCTGAAGAAAACAGTGATGTGAGACTTGGATTACCAAAATCGATTAGTAGAATGTCAATCGAAAGACAAACACAATAATATGATTCGGTTGAGTGATAACTGTTCACGAGACTGCATTAATGACTTGAGTCCCCAAAATCAAAGACAACACTACTAGTCAGATTGAGTAGGTTTTACACGTAATAAAATAACATGCTTTTACACACAATATGAACACAAAATAAGCAGAATAAAATATCGTGGACAATTAGACAAAGTAAACTTGTAAGTCACTCATTCTTTAATCGAATTATCCATGGCTGTTAGACCTAATTTTGGGTATCATATCAATAAGTGATTTTGCTTGCAAGTCAACGTAAGCTAGTAAACAAACGAAAACCAGAAAGCGATAGCATTAGTTACGGAATCGTGAGGCTAAAATGATTTCATGCAGATTGTAAAATCTTGATTTTATGGATTACAATTTGTATATTATCAATTTATAAATGAATTCGTAAAGTTTAAGTGATAAATTATAACCATCAGAGTTCAAACATGTTGAAAGGTAAACTAATACGATTTGGAAGAATTAAACCTAATAATTACATTTTAACTAGTTGGAGATTGAGCAACATTCAAACTAGTTTCCTGTAATCTCCTATCACAATTTATCATGCTTATTTTGTATTAACGTTTTGTATATATAAGTATGTCATTTTATCACATAAAAAACCCTACAATTCTCCCAGTATTCTCTTGTTTTAGATTTAAAATCATTCGGGAGCTTACTTCAATAATCTTCTTATATGAGCAGCCATCACTTAGTCACATGTCACTGCATATTATCCATCGATTTCACTTATACTCACTGAAGTCTGACAACAGAAAATTATCCTCCGTAAAAAATAATCGAAAATGGGATTAGATTATTATGGTTTTACATCACTAATTGACTGAAGTAGGAAATGTGTGACATATGGCTCCAACACAGTGGTCTGATGGTTAAACGCGTGCTGTGAGACATGAAAGTCCTAACTAGGGGTCGCTGCGGTCTGATGAGGAGCCACACCAAAACGAAACAACTGCCCACAGCCCTATGATATTCGACAGTATCTCAACTGACATCAATCTGCGATGAAAATCACCGCTATATATATCAATAAATATACCTATTTATTAACGATATTTCAATTGCGATTAGTTTACTTGCATGAAAATAAGGCCAGATTGAAATTTCAATGAAATGAGATAACGTTTTCCATATAGATCGAAATGTTTGTAAATGTAATTTATTTCTCCAGTTTTAAATTTACATAACGCTTATTATTTGCCAAACTATTCAGTTAAACATTGATCAAATTTGTTAAATTCCCTGTGAATTACTCTTTATCAATAAACAAGTATTTATTTTATTTATTAATCGGGAATTATAATTTTTCGTTATATTTACTGATAATGAATATGAGAGAAAATGTTTAAAACGTAGTTTACAGTTTCAATCAACTCCAACATGTACTGAATTTAAGATTTGCCGAAATTTGCCTTTAATATGTTACATACTAAATGTATTATCTGATCTTCAGACATCACCTTAAATTATTTGGTCTTAAATCGAATAAACTTTACAATTTCAGTAGCAAATAAATGTTGTGTTGAAACCAACCATCATTCAACAACGAGCTCAACAGTACACAGCGATTATATAGCAACGACTTTATAAAAAACCAGAAGCATCCAGTAAGATAGAAGTAGGTTTTAAGTTAATCACAAGAGATAAGGAATTCCCAAGTAAGATAAATATATAAATTCAGCTAATATTTTCTACTGTAGGGGACTCCATAAATAAACAATAGATGAAAATTGTGAACAGATTTACCTGAACAGCCATGGCTTCATCATAAATAGCTCCTGCATAAGTACATATAAATGTACCTTTGGGAATTGCATTTAAAGCACGGATACCCCAACCCCTAAAGTAAGAAGTAAGACAAATAAATAAATCAAAATACTTCTTACAGTAAAAAATGAACAAAAAATCAAATATGAAACTTCATATAATTTAAGTATCTTGATTGATGGAGTAACTAATTTTAATATCTAAAACAATTGCTATTATTTTCAAACACATAAATATTGGTACGAATGTGTACCAAAATAAATGAGCCACACAATAAGAAAACGAAATTATGAAGTGGTAGGGGAAGGGAGATGAGTATGATAAAAAACAGAAAACGAAAGAAAATAAGTAAATGAGAGAAGTAGATGGTGAGAAAAGCAAGTTAGTTCAGAATAATAAAACCAGAAAGAATACTTTTAGCTACAAAGGTTCCTCTGATTTTTATGATACTGGCTTCTATTTTGAGCCATGTCTGATAACGTATAAAACCACTGAGTTACATAATCTCTAGAACCTCAACCAAGGATTAGTGATGGACAGATAAATGTCAATCATATGCAACTTTTCTTCAAATCTAAGTACCCTGTTATAAGCCGACCACCATCCCGCTTTTTCCAAATAGCCCCAATGTCGACAAATAATGCACTATATGGAATAGATCAATTAGTACTACTCCGATCGACTTCAAGATATTCCACTGAACAATTACCAGATAGTTTATACCTACTAACACGGTTCAGATCAATAGTCAATTACTACATAGACTAATGCTAAGTTTTGGGTTGGCTACTCAAGTGATATCGATTGATGTAATCTCAGATTCTACACAAATACATGATTATCGAAACTAATACCTTAAGAGTGAATGTCAGTGGATCACGTTTAATCAAGAGGAATAACAGCATATAAGTAATAATCAAATATATTTATAACAACTTCCGAAATAACGTATTACTTGCGAGCAGTTTTGAACACTTGAAGTTTAACCCACAATCCTTGTTGGACCACTCGATTGCTACATCGACGATCACATTGACAATTCGAATTACATTCATACACTCCGCCAACAGTAAATTGTGACAACCGACGATAGCGATAACCAGCTTGACTGTCCACCAAACCATTTGGATTTGTTAAAGAACTGGCCTCAACTGAATAGTATAGAATACCAAGGAATAAAAAACCAATTACTTTAAAGAATAAAAAGACATATTCTAACGCAAAAGAGAATTTTCTAAAAAGACTGCTTTTTCCCAATGAGATTAAGAGTAATGAAAATTCGTTCAAACTGTTGTATGGTAAGAAAATTTTTTATCACGAACTGAAATCATATGAAAAACCGTTGTACATCATGGTGCACTGGACATACATTTCGTTCTAGTTTAAGAATCCTTAGCAATGCACATATCTACAACTCCACCAAGAACCGATCCCATGACATTTAGGTCTTCTACAAAGCATGATACCTTCACACTAAGTCAAGATTTTTGAATCTACATATCCGAATCCAATCAATTTGCGAAATTGCACCACCGTCATTTTAATCTCTGCAATTGCATTTAGATTATTGCTACCACTACCGTTGCCTAACTGGTACTTAGTCAACTGCGAAACAAACATCAGAGTAAAGAAATGATACAGGAACGAAAAAAGAAATTTCATTTCTTGATCCTTTCTAATACTAAAATCCTTGATATGTAGGATAAAACTGTGGCATTCAGCCACATAAAACACTACGAAATAATATATCAGATTTAAGACTAGCGCATCTCAATACAACAAGCAATACTCGACACCAAAATGATGAAAAACCTGAAAGTCATGAATTCACATGATACCGACTATAATTGTTATAATTCGCTAAACTATGATGAAGAGATTCTCCATCAAAAACTCCATAAAGAAAAATGACTTTTTTAAAACAAACGTATTTCTATAAAAACTCACTAGTCAACTGCTGACATGCGCACTTAGTTCGATCACGGCAATTATCCGTACAATCGCAACAAACAAGAAATTTAGAATCTTTCAATAAGGGTACATTACCAATAGGTTGTCTTTGAGGAGTATAATCAATATAGCCAGGGACTTCATTATCTACACTATTTACACAAGGAATTGGAACATTTTCTTTACCATATGATAAATCCACAATATTGGTAAGTGTCTGTAAAATAAAACAATTAATCATAATTATAACAACAGGGGAGAAAATCGGTAAAAGAAAATTTGACGAATTCAGAACTCCTTATAACTGAAAAGCTGATTTAAGTAAAACGGCGAATTGCTTCTCATGATATTTACCTGTTGCTAAACAAACGTACATTGGGAGAGCATTACGAATAGTGTGTTGAAAAAAAAATTCGCTTCATGTATTACCAACTCCGAAAAGTTAATGGAACTGTAAATATATTGGTTGTTACACCCAATCACTGTAATACACAAATTCAAACTACAGAATAGCCCAGAGTAGTTTGAAATAAAACTTTGTGATTTGGACTGAAGAAGGTTCTGTATTGGGTCCCCGTACTTATCCAAAAGATCGTCATTTGAATAGTCTAGAGATTTAAGGGGATGTACAAGGATATATAGTTCCAGGATGTTTGATAAAGATAAATCCATCTCTAGAAGTTTCTATATGGATATATATCCATCGATAAGTTAAGAATAACATTGGCTAGCAGATTAAAATCTAATATTCACAGAAAAAATGGTAATAATCGCACCATTGAATATTCATCAAAATGATAGTGAACCCACAGTTAGTTGTTAAATTACTCCCTTTTTAAGCATGAGAAGACTTTTTACATTACCAGTGGTACAATAATGTTCGAGAAACAGGGCTTTAATTGACTGTTATTTTAACTAACTGGACTTAATGACAAGGCATTTTTATGTTTCGCTATTTCAACACAATGACACCATAATCCACAAGCAACATTCAATAACAACGAAGATATCAACTTTTTTAAGAGTAATGGCTAAATAACAAAAGATACTACGAAAAAGTACTCACTTTTTCCGCACGAAATTCTTGATTAATTATCAGCGTAGAATCGAACGAGAATAGATCCGCAGTCAACTGACTATTAGTTTTGTCTAAGAATCGTTCTACTTCATGCATTGATCTCAATGAACGACCACATGGTGCACTATATATAATATTACATTTGTTATTGACTGGTGGATCATATTTTGCTAGATATCTGCTTTTTATTATTTTTTAAACAAATGAATAAACAATAAAACGTTAAATGTATGTGTAAACAAATAATGATTAGCAAAAAATACAAGCACTTAAACTTAGTTATTGCCAATACTTTACCCAATGATTTTTTTTGTAGAAAGTAACCGTAAAATTGAAGCCAGTAACAGAAAACCAGTAAAAGTAAACAACCAAAGATGAACTACAGCGATATCTAAATAAGATACAACGCTATGCATTATAACGCATTGATTTTCAAGTTTATTAACGATGAACTATTAGAAGATCTATTTATCTTAATGGTTAAGTGAAAACAGAAACAGGCATACACTAAATTAACACTAAGTTTCAGTAGGTATCAATTTCTCTACTCCTTAGCAATGACTGAATTCAATCAATCAATTTGAAGCGAAAATACTACCACACTGCTGTATATTATATGTTTGACATTACGAAATTGAAGAACAGTGGTGAAAAACCCAAGATCCAGCTTTACTAGTTGTCGCTGCCCATAAGCAAGGTGTGTTTGATGGTTATATAGGAATTTGATTGTTATTGAGGAATACACAAAACGACATCGGGTACTGCTCAATAATTAGGGCAAACACCACAGCTCGAAACGCTACTTGAAAATTGTGTATTATGACTATACTACTTATGAGTAACTATAATTAAGTCCCTATTTTTTATTGGTTAGCCGTAGACTTTTCTTAACGGTTGATTCACTTCAGCTAAAATGGGCTGGTTATTTTTGTGACTCCATGAATCGTGATCCGACCGTTGTTTCTGAATTCATTTCTCCAAATGTAAGTTTAACATAAGCTGATACGTATTTGTTATAGAATCACTAATTATTTCAATATCGGCATCTTTAAATATTACGAGAGGCTAAGACAACATTTCGATTAATTCGACCTCGGGTGCATTGTTCTGACAGATCTAACTGGTTGGTTGTAGACGAAATTTATCAGTAGCAACATCTATATAAATAGATTTTATATATCTCCCAGCTACACTGCTCTTTCAAAACAAGAATACAGATTATAAACTTTGTAAATAAAAAATAGCAATATCACTGATCTTTGCAGAAACTACTGACGATCTACTTGGCACAAAATTTTCGATAGAAATATTCTTCAAGAAAAAGTGTGATTGAAAATAGGTGAAAACAAGAATTGCAACAAAGTCAGATGACAATTAGGCAGAAATAAACGCTTATAACAAGTCATCACTGCTAATATGAAGAAACAATAGAAAAAAAACAGTGATTTGAGTGAAATATAAACACCAACTCTCATGAAAAAGCTTTTGGAAGGTTCCAATAAGGAGTGTGATTACCGAATTTATCAATTTCCTTCCTATCATATAGTAAGCAAGTATCTGCCATCACATAAAATAAAATAGGTTGCAAGCCAATAGTTAGTTTAAGAAAGTTTACAACCCGTTATTCTGATTTATTAAGTACCATTTTGTGTGATATTGATAAAATTAAAGACCTAAAACAGCTGTCAAATGCTAACTGGATAGCATAAACTAATTCTTTACTAATGATGTCCCTAGTAAAGTATATGTTTTGTTGTACCCTAAGAAGATTAAATTACGGGTAACTTCTAAGAACTATTTATAGACTTAGTATATATATTTATTCTTATTTTATAACTATTAAGTAACTAGATTATATATATATATATATATATATATATATATATATATATATATATATATATATATATATATTCGTATTTCTATTACCATAAGCTTTCAATTGACTTATTGGTTATTATTATATGATTAACTATTCTTAGGATATTCCCAATCTATTACTTGCAGTCTCTCACACTCACAGCCACTTTTGGCGTGATCTTGTATAACTGTTATTTTCTATTTTATAGTGTGATAAGGTCTGGTTTACTTGTACATAAACCGCGTGTCTGAAATATATGATTCATACAGCGGAGGCTGAGATTGTGTTCTGGACTAAATGGGCAGGGCTAGGCGAGAAGAACTGTTAAGGACTCAGAGTTAATTCTAAGCTTCTTGTGCTGGTTGACGTGTCATTGGTTGAGCACAGGAACAAGGTCATTTAAGTCGGTATTCTGATTGGCAGCTTTGTCACGTGATAATTAACAGAGGCAAAAGATATAACATGATTAGTTTTGAAGATATTTTCAAACATCCTATTGGTCTGAGATTTAAATTAGTTGGCTGAAACAATATCCTCAGTACAATACTTTCTTAATTAACCCGATTAAGTTACTTACCTCAACCAACCGCAACGGAATGGAATTTCCAACGGATTCAAACCTTTGTAATCCATAGGATTCTCTGAGCACAAAATTGGAGACAGTGAGCTAGATGGTTTTCTGTAACTTTTCAAACAATGATTCCCACACTTATGCGTCTCTATGAAGTAAATAAACATTGGAATTATAAAGTGTTTCAAAAACAATTTCCATTAAACAATTAAAATATATTTGCCTAGCACTCGCGATTAATACATATATACGATGTAATAGTCCGCTGACCCCGTAAAAAATATGTGTATTGCTGAAGAAAGTAGTGGGTTTATTAATGTCGAAATTTCAAACTCATCATATGAGTAAAATAGTCTCCCGAGTAATCTTTATTTTCGAATGACTTTTTCTAAATTTACTACTTTCATTCTGATCAGCTACAAAATCACCAAAATTTATTTATTTATTTATTTTATTTATTTTAACACATAGATATTGGTACAAAGAGGCACCAAATACATATGCGCCACACAAATCTCATTCGATATGTGTGAGAGCTGTGATACTGCTCGGGTGCCCAAACTGAAGCAGGTGGTTTTCTTAGGGGGCCACCAAAATAATGTACGGAATTTTCGCTGTTTAGGAGTAATTAAGGATAGTTATTAAGAAATTATAGATGTAATAACCGGTAACTGAGGTGATCGCTGCAGTGGTAAGACCAAGAATCAAGGGTTTTCAAAGACCATTTGTGGACAAATCATAAGATGAAATGTAAGCACACAGTAATAAATACTCCACGCAACTACACAAAATAAACTAACAAAACTCGTTTACCGGACACAATTTTATGTTGTCAGATTTAACCACACGTTTCGTGACGGTGGATGACACTATTTAATACCTTAGACTGAAGTAGACGGAGTTTTATTTATTTAAACACACGAACATTGGTACAAGGAAGCACCGAATACATATGCGCCACATAAATCATTGATTTGTGTGTGGGCTGGGATATTGTTCGGGTGCCCAAACCGAAGCAGGTGGGTTTCTTAGGGAACTATACTTCGAGACTTCGACCTAAAGGTCTGATCCACAAGGCAGTGGAGCAGCGTCAGGAGATGCAGTTTCATGGTAGCCGGTGACCAATAATCGGTTCATACGCCATTTGTTCCTTCAGAATCCTGGAGCTCATGTGCACCATTGGTTTGGAATCAGGGTTCTCCGACTCACCTAAGTGGATCCTCCATAACCACCAACTCGGTCAAAGAGCCTGACATTCGCTTCTTGTCCTCTTAATTTCGTAAACAACACCTTCATTGCGAGAAAGCAATGAGTAGGACATCCATAGCAGTGGTTGTATGCACGTGGCCATGTGAGCGCGTTTCGAGAGGGAGAGCTGACTCTCCATAATCTCAGCCGTACCAGGGCGGAGGAGGGTTTAAAACTAAGACCCAACTTTTGAAAAGAGATTACCTTAACTAACAAATCACTGTTTCATAATATCAGTGTACTTTGGTTATCACGTCAACTATCATGCTTCCTAGACTTCCAATTCATTTAGTGTAATTCACCCACTTAAAACACATCAGGGGATTTCTAGTTCGCAAATCTTTGGACAAAACATCAGAAAGCAAATTAAATTATTACAAGTATCTTTTACTTAAATTCATGTGAAATATAAGACTACAATGTACAAGAACTAATTAACCCCATTAAACACACAAAGAAGATATTTAGGGGTTCTTAGACACCAACATCATTGTAATTAATACGTGTAGTCAGACTGTTTGAAATGTACTGCGCTAATATATCACATAGTTCTGATAATCTTCATTTTCTTATTACACCATCCTAATTGGCTGTTATTTCTTAATGGTTAGAGATACACTAACGAATAATAGGTAAAAAAATACTGCCAATTACGATTATATAAAAATGATCAGTACTCCTTCAAAACACAAACTTCATTGTTAAACACTAGCTATGAAAGCACACTTCGATTTGTTGATGTAAGTTGAGGAAAGACATTATACCAAAAGGATTTGAATTGACCACCGATCTAGGGCTTTAACAAACTCAAATAGCAAAGTCTTAATGTCTCTTCCTTTAGCGAATATTTAGATTAATAGTTATGTACATGTAAATGCAGCTAAACACAATCAAACCAGCTGTCCGATCAGGAGGCATCACAGAGCCTCGATCGAAACCGAGTTGAATTAGCTCGATTGGTGACCGACTGGATATTATTTAGAACAATTAAAATAGCCTTGTTTTCCGGACTGCATCACTGTAAAGAGTATAAAGGATTGAAGTTTTTTTTTTAAAAAACCGGGAAACCAATACAGATGACATGTAAGTTGCTAGTTTATATTGTGCAACAAGATTAATTACTCCGATTTACATTACCAACCCTGTATGCAAAGATCAATTCAACCAGTGCAGAATAATTTAGGAAGTTTAATTATTTAAAAATAAATACGACAGAAATTATAATATGATGGATAAAAACATAATTGAAATTATATATTGCTTTATGTCAACGGGACATTTACACATAATAAATCTACAAAACATATTATGAAAGAGAGGATATATGGTATTTACACTTAAACAACAAACCAATGACTTACCGAATGGTTTATAATTGAATTCTTTAAATAAATTATCTAAATAGCTTGTTTTGGTACCAGTTGATTCCAATTCAGACAAATTAGTAATTGGATCCATACTTAGACATTGTTCATTAATAAATTTTTCAGAACTCTTTTTAGAAATAGTTTTTAATGCTTCATCATTATAATTTAATGATTTATTAGTTTGATGAATACTATTACTAATTTTGTGCGAATCACCATTAGACAATGCACGGACTGGTACAACAGCATTTTGATTGCCTGTAGCCGACTTACGAGCTTTACGACGTTTAGCACTTGAGTCTAATGCTTTAATAAAGTTGAAAGATAATTAATTTAGGTAATAGTTAGGTAAGTTTAAAATCTGATAGCTGTAAATAAAAGGTTGAAAATAAGCTTCTTTAATTTATGAAAATCTGTTAACTCTATGGATAGTTCAGGGAGAAAACTACCAACATTTACATAATAATGATATATATTTATAATAAACTATCGAACAAAAAATTAAATTGCTGATGTTTCCTGACTTAGTGTGAGTCGGCTTCTTCAGAATAAACAAATAACTGAATTAAGACAAAGTTAAATGGTACAAAGGGACAAATTGGAATATTTAGCACATTTACAGAAAAATATTATGACTAGCAGATCGTAAATACTTAGCACTGCTTACATCTGTTAGCCACAATATGGAAATCTAGGCAGTAACAAGTAGTTTCTTCCTGTCTACAATTAAGTGCATCAATAATTCATATTAAAATGTTAAGTCATAATGATCACCAAAATCAGAAAAACAACCAAATATATATTGATATGATACAAAAAAATTATGTCTTACAAGTTTACTTCCTCTAATTGTCCACGATATTTTATTCTGCTTATTTTGTGTTCATATTGTGTGTAAAAGCATGTTGTTTTACTACGTGTAAAACCTACTCAATCTGACTCAGTCAGTCAGTCAGCTACAACGTAGGACCAGGCACATGTATGCATCGGCCCAGGTTGCCATACCTCATTAGCACAGCAAGATGAACACCGGATTCATAAAAGTAGTTAGGTCAGAGGTGGTAATATATAGGAGGATTGCAATAAGGATATAGTATAGGAAGAAAGAATTAGTTCGTAGAAAGAAAGATATGAAGTGATTTTAATCTCTTAGTTTAAGGAAGACAGGGAGTGTATACACCGACGCCATTGTGATCGATTCTGAGCCATGTCACCAAGAGTCTCCAACCATTGGTTACGAAAGTCACGCGGACCCCAACCAAGTAGTCTGCATCTACCAACATGGCTCAGACTAGAAGTTAGTGACTTCAGGCACTGATGCCACGTTTTGGTTTGGCCGCCCCTAACTTTCTTCCAACCATCCCCTACACCGGTTAGCATTGCACGTCGTGGTAATCGGTGTTCAGGCATACGTAATACGTGGCCCAACCATCTCAGTCGATGAAGATTCATAACCTCATCAACTGATTTACCATCATTCCCTAATACCCTGCGTCTAACCTCACTATTACTTACCCGGTGATCCCAGCAGATGCCAGCAATATTTCTAAGGCATCTGTGGTCAAATACTAGTAGCTTACGGGTGTCTTCTACTCTTAAGGGCCATGTTTCGCTGCCGTAAATTAAAACAGAACGAACTGCCGCGCAGTATACTCGTCCTTTTATTGATAGACGGATATCTCGCCTCCGCCAAAGGTGACGTAAGTTGGCAAAAGCCAAACGAGCTTTACGAATCCGTGCTGAGATTTCGTCAGACACCAACCCATTAGGGCTGATCAGACTTCCAAGATAAGTGAAGTTGTCAACGCGTTCGACTACTTCACTCCCTATCCTTAGTTCAGGTGTTGACGCAGACCAGTCCTGAAGCAACAACTTGCATTTAGAGGGAGAGAAGCGCATCCCAAACATTCTGGCATTGTTGCTTAGTGCTACCAGAAGACTCTGCATTTTGTCAGCGTCTTCACCAAACAGGACTATGTCATCTGCGTATTCTAAGTCGATAAGTGGACCTCCTGGAAGGAGATCAATACCCGAGAATTCAGTCGACGAGAGTGTTATTTCCATCAATAGGTCTATGATGAAGTTAAACAAAAATGGAGAAAGTGGGCAGCCTTGACGGACACCACTTGAGGTTGCAAAAGTAGATGACAGTTCGCCATAAGCCCTGACTCGACTAGTAGTGTTCGAGTAAAGAGCCTTCACAAGGTTTATGTACTTCTGAGGTACGCCTTTCAATGACAGACACTGCCACAGAGTCTCGCGGTCTACAGAGTCAAATGCTGCTTTTAAGTCAAGAAAGACCACCATCGTCGGACGCCGATAGGTATGCCTGTGTTCTAGAACCTGACGAATGGTGAATATGTGGTCGATGCAGCCACGACCAGGTCTAAAGCCAGCTTGGTTCTCTCGTGTTTGTAGTTCACGAGTCTTAGTTAGGCGTTTGATAATTATCGAGGCCAGTATTTTAGATACTATGTTTGTTAAACTAATCCCTCTGTGGTTGTCACAGGATGATTTTGACCCTTTCTTATATATTGGGACGATAAGTGATTGCGACCAGTCAGATGGGATAACGTCTAATTCCCAGATCTTAGCTAAAATATTAGTCAACCTAATCGCTAAAATTGGACCACCATCCTTAAAGACCTCTGGAGCCAATCCATCTGGACCAGCTGCCCTTCCTCGTTTCAGATTAACTATAGCCTTCTCAACTTCAGCAAGAGTTGGGGGACCTACTTCAATGTTCCATTCACATTGTCTGGGAATGGAGGGTAGTTGTAGAGTAGCTGAAGGCCAGCTGAACTGTTCTCTAAAATGTTCCGCCCATCGTTCTAAACGTCTGGACTGGGAGCAGATGAGAGTATCATCTTTTTCCGAAATAATCTCACTTACACTTGACTTATTAATTCCAGTTTCTTTTATTAGTCTGTAAAGCTGTCTTGTGTTCCCTATAGTCGCCGCCTTTTCCATCTCTTTTGCTTTCGTTACCCACCACTGCTCACGGTCGTTCCTTAGACTTTTTCTTAACCTAGATCTGATTTGTTTACGCTCTTCATCATGTTCAGAACCTGATGGGACGAGTTTGCGAGAATCCATCAGTGTGACAGACCTTGAAGAAATCCACTGGTTCCTTGTAACTCTGTGGTTTAAGTCACTAATAGATGTCACTGCTGTTTCCACAGCTGATTGTATGCCCTTCCAAGCAACATCTGGGTCAGCCTCGTCTTCACAACTACCTAAGTGTGACCTCAGTTGTTCCTGGAACCTACTTTTGGTTTTCTCGTTACTCAACTCAGTTCTAACGGGTCTTTTTAATGTGGCTTTTTTGCGTCCAGTGAGGCGCAAGCAGATGCGTGCCCGTATTAGGGCATGGTCGGAGTCCAAGCAGGTACTCCAGAATGAGCGACAATCTTCTACCGACCCTCTCCAACGATGACTGATGGCAATATGGTCTATTTGAGTCCATCGTTGGTTTGGTGTAGGGGGTCGCCATGTTAGACGATGTCTCTCCTTATGCTTAAAATTTGTGTTTGCTAAAAATAAACGATTGTCTGAGCATAGCTGCAGCAGACGATCACCATTATCTGTTCGCTGTGTCGGAATACTAAAATATCCACCTAAATGCCTTTCTGTTTGGTTTAAACTGCCTATCTGAGCATTAAAATCACCTGCTACGAGTACTATGTCTGAGCGTTTAGCTTTCTGAAGAAGTTCGGAAAGCTTTCTGTAAAATTCATCTTTCACTTCATCTGAGCTGCAGTCAGTGGGAGCGTAGGCAGAAACGACAAAAAGGCAACGACGTGTGTCCCTATCCTTCCGAGTTCTTACGTAGCCGTTCAGCCGAACAGCACATAGACGACTGTTGACGGGGATCCACTCTAGCAGTGCTTGTTCGGCCCTCATGCTTAGTGCTATGCCTACACCTGCCAGTCCACGAGAACTTGCCATCGGGTCACCAGATACACGAAGGGTGTATCTCGTTGGCTCTCCGTTTGCCGAGGTGAGGTCAAGTGAATGACCACACTGGAATCCTGTATGCGTGTTTCGGAGACACAGCACACGTCAATGGAAAGAGACTCTAGGGTTTTAGCCAAGGAAGCCTGCTGACCGATTTGACATAGGGTGCGTACGTTGAAGGCTCCAATGTGTAGTTTGGAGCGAGGTTTCAGTAGACCTGGGACAGTGTTTTGCGCACTAGAATCGTTGGCTATGGTGACACTTGAGGTGGAAGCCGAGAGGGGAAATTTAGAGTTGAAAGTCGATGTAGGAGGAATAATAGGAATTGAAGAGGAGGTTGATTATGAATACAGTGGTCTTGAGTGCTGTTAGAAGTATGAGGGCGGTTATCACTTCCCGGTTGCCCACACCGTGGAAGGGTTGTTCTGGAGGTACCTGAAAAGGAAATTGGATTAGAGGTGGTCTTAGTGACCTGAGAGCGTGACCGCAGTGCCCAAGGGACAACTGCTTGAGGTCGGTCACACACGACCTTGTTATGGGTAATTTTTGTGTTAGCTCCGTACTTATTGAGACCTTACCGCCGGAGACGGATATCCGTGGGATAAGGCGAGGTGTGCATTTTTAGGGTCGACCTTTTCTAACCCCACCCCTCCTTGTGGGAAGGCAGCATCGCTGTCATGCTGGTTGTCTGAAGGAAACACCTTACTGCTGTCACACCTCTGTACAGTCAGCAGTACGACTTCGCCTTCGGACCTTGGGTTTGTTGCTTTTAGTCTTACCGCTCTTCAACCGACCTGTCTGACATGGTAGGACCTTGAGGAACGGTTGTTCCAGCCAGTATAGCTCGGTTGCTTCATCACGATAGGCAAGCCCGACCACCACGTCAAGGTAGCAACAACGGTCGGGCTCAATCTGACTAGTAGTGTTGTCTTTGATTTTGGGGACTTCAGTCATTAATGCAGTCTCGTGAATAGTTATCACTCAACCGAATCATATTATTGTGTTTGTCATTCGATTGACATTTTACCCATAGATTTTAACAACTGGGAATTTCACTCATCAATCATTAGAAACATCCTTTTTAATAAACATGAAACCTGTATTCTCATAATTATTAAATTCTGAGGAGGTAAACAACTGCACTTAAACATGAATATCACGTTTATTGATCTGGTTGTGGTAGCTTTTTAATCCTTAGTGGAAGCTCTCCAAAAAATTTCGTACGCACTGTCCTTGGAAAAGAAATCTATTCCCCTTAATACGATTCATAAACTACATATGAAAGGTCATGATACACACTTAGCAAGTGAATTCAAATTCATTGACGAATAGTTAGAGGTAGTTGTTGAATTTCATTTAAGAATAACCGCGAATATCTCCTTGAATGATTAATTGCTATATTAGTGGAAAACGTAACCGAAATGTTGAACGTGAATATCCCATGCACATAAAAACTTTAAACAACAGTCACATTTAAAACATAGACACTTCAATGTATAATTAGTTATTACACGTAGTTTAAGTATGTCCCATTTGTCTTCATTCAAAAGATCATACATGAAACATAAAAAACTATCCAAATAACGTTTAAATGATGATTGACATTCAAACCTTGAAAACAATTTACAACTTATACGAATCATAATTAGAGAAATTGATAAAACCAAATCTTTGGTATATGGACTTTTGAATTTAAATTATGAAAAAACCATCATCTGCATATATTTATCTTTTTAATTTCCCCCAGTTTCAGTATCCTAAGTATTAAATCGTTTACTTTAGAAACTGTTCACATAAGTTGTTTGATTTATCGATTTAAAATTTCATTTGCATTGACAATCTTTTGTCAGTAATTTGATGCGTTCTTAGATTATGTGATTCTGAGTTACCTTCAAATCTTTATCTTTAATATAAGTAACACTTTATATCTAAGCCTCTTACCAGTCGAAGAAATTATACGTTGGAATGAAAAGTTTTTACGATAAAACGTTTATTTGGATGGGTGTTGACTTCTAATCAACGATCAATGCTTTTACTTTTCGAATAATACGGTAAATAGAGATAATCTATAGACAAGGATACGGAAACAAAATGACATGATAACTACAGGTATATTAATAAACCAGAAGTTTAATTCACATCATTTTCATAAGTGTTAGCCAAACAACACAGTTTCATACTTTGTAAAGTGAAACGGAACTTGAATTTGTGAACCAACGATTGTAATTTGCTACTTAAAAGTGACTAGACAATCTCCCTGGCATGAATACGATTGATATTGAAGCAATTCGAACTAAACATTTGTATGATGAATTTGCTTGTGTATGGTGTTTTATCCTTTAATTTTCTCACTTGATAATATTTTTATCCATGGGTAAAGTACATACTGTTCATGGAACTTGAAACTTGCAATTCCTGATTGATAATAATTCTTTAACTACCATCAACTTATGAAGATCCCATTCGAAATAAACTAATTTCATGGACATCAGGAAAGTGAAATAATACTAGAACTTAAAGAATAAAAACGCAAGTTCTCTACACAACTAGTTATATTATGAAATGTAGCTAAAAACAAGAACATATAAAGCTTTCAACAAAACAAAAGTGACTTACGAACATCCACACTACTGTACTCAACTTCTACTCGTTGATTATGAGTTGGTACACTCTTGCTTTGACTAGTAAGCTGAAAATGTACAAATAATTGTGAAGATAAAACTTAATTAGACCAGGGTAGTGTCAGTGATTCGACAAACAACTTTTTTTCTGAAACAGTATATGAAACTTGGACCTTGGAAATATAAAACACAATAAAATTTGTTTTGAATAAATGCTGCTAAGTGAGTAAATTTTCTATCACAGGTAGGCCAGGACAATTTAAGACTACATTGTTTATAAATAATCAATGAATTAAACAGTAAATAACAGTTTATTGCATTAAAACTACATTCTTTTGCTCTAACATTGGTTACTTCAAGAAAATTGGACCAGGATTACTTAAAAATGAATCTTCTAATAATCGCCATATTAAATTGTTTAAACTGAGCGCAAACCATTAAACCAGGGCCCCATGAAACTACGAAACTAAATGGATGATTCGAATGACATGTCAGAAAGTTCTACAAATGCCCGGAACATCCTCCCACCATCGTTGTCGACTGAATTGGGAAATGAACCTTCTACTTTGTTTGCCTTCTGAATGGTTGGTTGGAGGCAGAATCAAGAAGATAATAGGGGTTTAGTAGGAATTTTTGGTGTATCTGCGTCACGTTTCCTCACTGAGTTAACTCCTGTGTTGATATTTCGATTTGTGTAGTCATTACCGGGCACCATAGTTCCACAGAATAAATGAAAGTTGACGAGAGTTTGATCATATATATATAGCAATTTGTATGTTAAAAGAATAAAAACACTTTTAGAGGAAAATTTTCATATAATGTTGAGACATGATAGAGGTAATTACTTTACTAAAGATACTTATTTTTGTACAGCAAACAACAATAAAGTTTAGTTACAAATAGAAAAATTATTATCGCGAAGCACTATCAGTTTTTAAAAAATCACTGAAAAGCATGTTTTGTACTTGCATATAGGACTTCTTAACAATTTATGCTGGGAAAACATGCTTGGTTCTAACTAAGTCGTGGTTCTACATTATCATTGATTAATTTGTGTAATATTGCCTAGTTCCCGCGGTACTTTTGGTTAACTCAGTTTGTGATCAAAATTAAAATGCAATTTTTCAATCCGCTAAAACCACCGATTTGTGTAATACAGTTTCTCAAAACAATATCCGTCATACTGATAAACAAATAAGTATCTGGCTTACCAAATCACTGAAAAGTGGTTCCAGGCGCGTGGAGCCACGATAAATCCATTCAGAATGGGTTCTAGAGAACTTCATAAGAGCTAAACTTGCATCAACTTTCTCCACAGTTGCCTTCATCCAATCACCATCCAATTCAGTTTCAACAATCTGTCCAGGTTTCAGCCTAACCATGGGACGCTGAAAAAGGCATGCAAACAATTTTGTTGGAAAAATAGAAATTAATTTCAATAAAACGAGGGTGAATGTCAAACAACCATAGTCTTATTCATGTAAAACGGTCATACAGAGCATTACAGCTGTAAGGACTGGAAGAATCTACTACGAAAAATACAGGAGCATCCTTGAATTGACGCATCTGATTTGTCTTGATCCGTGAGAGTGATAAAACATAGAGAATAGATATTACAGTTTAACTGCCGTTATACCTAAACAATTAAGGATTGTGTTAAACTTGATCAAAGTGATGCGCTTCTCATTTTATATTATTACTGTCTACGAAGTGACTCAACACTTCTGCTTTCGCATTAGAAATTTATATAAAGTGGTATTTAAGAATCGCAAGAGAAAAATAGTTACTAGTTATTTACAGCAAATTTTAATAAAACTTATTTTTGAGGTCCAATAACTGAACTTAATACCTTCGAACCGAACATGTTTCTTCATTTTTCAGACTACAGACTTAAGACATTCATCTCTGAAATAGGTATAAGTGTTTAACGAACCTTTTTGTCCTTCGTATGCTAATTTCACTGGGCTTTTTAAAACGATTCCCACGAGTTTACGTGAGGTACACTTTACAAGTATTTGATAGTGAAATAATTAAATAATACAGTGTTAAGTATTAGAATGAAATGTACTAAGTTCCAAGGTAATATTTTCGAGAAAACCAAACAACAAAAATTCAGTAGTACTTGAAACAACTTCTACATAAAAACTTTACTGACCTGAGGATACTGAGCCAAATAACGTTTAATGAATTCTTGAGATGATTCAGTGGCTTCTTTCCAATTTTCTTTCGCTATGGAAATTCATATGAGAATTGATTGTAAACTTACATTGGTGACATATGCGATAAATTTCATTCGGTGGTGAATATTGCGTATAACCATCATCAAAGAATAATAAATACCTAAATACAACCAAGTAATTAAAAGTTATCCAGTTAAAATTTATCCCTACCTCTGATTATTTCGTTCACTTGGAGGTTCAGCAATCAAACCGGAATAATAACCGATTCCACCGGTATCATCTCGATATATTGCTAAATTGTTGTAAATGATAAAATTCAAAGTTAAAAGATTAGTTTTTATCAGATATTTACTGTGTCAATAATGAACCTGATAAATCAACGAAAAATAAACTTCATGCTAACAGTTATACAGCTTGTAGTTTCGACTGCTCTCATAAAATTACACATTACTGGAGACAAGAATAGACTTCGAAGTTAAGAATCCCTCTTCCCTAATAAATAAAGAGTATAAATATACCATAATTTGTTTATGGTATATCTTACATTTAAAGATTCAAACAAAAAGATGTAGTGACAACTATTACACTAAATTGGATCAACTATCTTCAATAATTTATAGAAAGACTGAAATATTTACTACCTACTTAACAAATCTAATGAGCTCATGATAAAAAAACAATAATCATGTGCAAATATCTGAATATCGTTTAACATGAAAACACTAATTTTTAAGGTGTACATAACCTACATACACATAGGAATATCATTGAAAAAGATTTAAATTATATTATTAATAAGTATAAGTTTGAGGACTAGAACAGGTAACCATAAATTATCTCAGTGAAGCAAACCACAACAACACGTCAACCAGATATCTGACCTTTCCATATCAGTAGTTGTGCATTGATTATCTAATAAAAACAGACAAGACAGAAGTTTATTACGCGGCACCTAATTACTTAGTGAATAGTAAAGGGTTTGTGAAATAAAATATGATAATAACGTCCAATCTCTAACCCCTTTAAGTAGCTTCAGTATAATTTATTAGTTTTTCACTTTTATTAATTTTCATTATTTACTGATGCGTGCCTTTCATTGCATTATGACATGATGTAACATTTTTGTATGCGAACAAATCCCAAATACAAACCGGTAGCTCTTAAAAATTAAAGAACAAATCCCGAAAACTAAAGGATACTTCAAGATGTGACACACTATACGAAATAGAGAAGCGAAAATAAGTGAAGATTTTGTTTACCTAAGAATAAAAAACTACTCATTCTAACGAACACATTTAAACATAAGCGGGATGTTTCCGATTTTCGTTTCTAAAATACAAGTATAAAATGACCATCAACAACACTTTTATTATTGTGAGTGACATTAGATGTTTTTGAAATTTTCAGCCCTCAAATGCCCTGGTATGACCGAGAGTGGAGTGGGCCCGTCCTCCCTCCCGAAATACTCTCACACGGCCACGCGTATACAGCCTCTGCCAGGGAAGTCCTACTCACTGCCTTATCGTGGCGGTGTTGTTTACGAAAATGAGAGGATGAAAAGCGAATGTCCGACGCTTTAACCGGATTCCAAACCAATGTGCACATGGGCTCCAGTATCCTGAGGGAACAAATGGCGTATGAACCACTCGTTGGTCACCGGCTACCATGAGACTGCATCTCCTCACGATGCTCCACTGCCCTGTGAGTCAGAACTTTAGGTCAACCACGGGCACCATTCAAACTGGCTGCCTTCAACGTTCGCACACTTATGCAGGTTGGACAACAGATATGGCTGGCTATTTCTTTAGAAAGTCTTAATATCGCTGTTTGCTGTCTATCTGAGACCCGTATTCAAGACTCTGGTGAAGTACTACAAATTCGATCTCCATCTGTCGCTTCGAAAAGCTTGTTTTACGTGCGCTTATCCGGGGACCCTGTGGTCTTGCTGGCGTTGATGTCGCACTAAGCGCTAGAGCTGAGGCAGCACTAATCGATCGGATCCCCATTAACAGTCGGTTATGTGCTGTTAGATTAGAGAGTTCCATCAGAGTGAGAAGAAATCGGCGTGAGAAACGATGTCTTTTCGTCATCTCCGCCTATGCCCCGACAGATTGCAGCCCGGATGCAATCAAGGATGAGTTTTACCACCAGTTAACTGTTCTTAGCCAGAAAGTGCGTTCGACAGATATTGTAGTACTAGCCGGAGACTTGAATGCTCAGGTCGGGCGTCTAGGCACAGAAGAGAGTCATTTAGGTGGCCGATGGAGACTTGTTAATCGCAGGACAGATAACGGAGACCGTCTACTGGAACTGTGCACAGACCACAACCTGTTTCTGGCCAGCACTAACTGTCGGCACAGTCATCGCCGATGTGCCACCTGGCGTCCTCCCTCTGCATCTCAAGCCTGGACTCAGATTGATCACATCGCGGTCAGTTACCGCTGGCGTGGTTGTGTACAGGACTGCCGCTCCTTTTGGAGCACCTATCTTAACTCTGATCATGCCTTGGTCTGCGTTAATCTTACCTTACTTTTCAGTGGCCAACGAAGTAACCCCCATCAACGGATTGATGTCAGCAAGCTGGTTGCAACTTCTGTTGCAAGTAAGTATCGAATCGAGCTAGCTTCTAGGCTAGCTACCATTCCACTGAAAAGTATAGATGAGCATTGGTTGCAATTGCATGACGCCATGAAAATGGCGGGTACAGTCAGTTGTGGGTTCGCGAAACGTCCGGCTTATAAGCACTAGGTTTCTTCAGGCTCCATAAAGCTCATTGAAGCCCGTCGGTCTACTCCGAGTGACTGTGAGTTTGACCACAAACGAAGGATGTTACGTAAGGAAATCAGGCAAAGCTTGCGTAAGGACCGAGAAGCCTGGTGGTCAGAGCATGCTAATCAGCTGGAAGCATCAGATGCATCTGCTAACTACCGGAAGCTCTTCCAAATCATCCGAGCCACTGGCAGCAAGAAGTCTGGTGTCAGCGAAACAATCTGCGAGGATGATGGGATCCCAATCACTAACATCCATCGACGTCTTGGACGATGGGCAGAATTTTTCGAAGGGCAGTTCAACTGGCCTGCTGCTCCGGCAACATCGATCAAACTGTCCTGCCCTCCATGATCTGTGACAACAGATTCACCAAATGAGGCGAAAGTCCGTAAGGAACCCCAACTCTTGATGCGCTACAAATCACCTGGCCCAGATGACTTACCTCCGGCTCTTTTTAAAAATGGTGGTGACTTTTTGACTAAGGAATTGACGACGTTGTTTACAAAGGTTTGGGAGCTAGAGAGTGTACCAACGTCATGGAATGAGTCGATAGTTCTGCCTATCTTTAAAAAGGGTTCACGTCGTTCCTGTAACAACTATCGGGGGATAAGTCTACTTCCGATTGCGTCCAAGCTATTGGCTTCCGTCATACTTCGTAGGTTGTTCAAAACCCGAGAAAGACTGACTCGCGAGGAGCAGGCTGGTTTTCGTTCTGGTCGAGGATGTAGTGATCATATCTTCATCCTTCGCCAAATGTTAGAACACCGCCATACTTTTCAAAGGCCAACAATCGTAGTGTTTCTTGACATCAGGGCTGCCTTCGATTCGTTGGATAGGACTGTTCTCTGGGATTGTCTATTGAAGAAGCGTGTGTCTGAGATGTTTATTAACATCCTAAAAGCCATATATACAAACACCTCAGGCAGAGTGAGGGCATACAACCACCTTTCTCCATTGTTCCATTCGAGCAGTGGGGTTAGTTAGACAATCTCACCAGCCCTCTTCAACTTTGCCATCGATGACATTCTGAAAACAGCTCTGATGGATTTAAGTAATGGCGGTGTAGATCTGTTGCCTGATGTACGAAGATGTCTCCAGTCACTTAATTCATCTCGATATTTGGGACCTGATGGTATCCCAAACATCCTGTTTTAAAAATGTGCTGACGTCCTATGTTATCCGTTCACAACTATCTTTAACAGATCCTTCTCACCTAATCTCATACCGAAAATGTAGAGAAAGATGAAGATAATTCCTGTACCCAAGAAAGCATCTGGTGATAAGAATGTGAAATTTAGACCTATTGCAATAACTTCACCCTTCCTCAAAACAATGGCAAAATTATTAATATTTCCACTTCAGCCTGCGATAAAAGAGTATATTGATCCATATCAGTTTGCTTACAGATGCAAAAGAAGCATCTTAGATGCTGTTGCTGTTCTGCATCATAATATATTGTTCAACTTAGAAAAGGGTAAGAAGTATGTTCGATGTGCTTCTCTGGTCTATACTTCAGCTTTTGATTCTATACCAAGACAACGTTTACTTAACAAGTTGATCAGTGTCAACACTGACAGCTGGATAACAAACTGGCTATGTTCCTACCTCTCTGGAAGGGAACAGTACACTGTATTTGGAAGAAAGTGTTCAGTCTCTACTGTCTCATGAGGGTGTACTACAAGGAGCTGTTCTTTCACCTCTTCTCTTCTCTTTCTTCTGCATGATCTGCCATCTTCCACAGAAAACACTTTTGTGAAATATGCGGATGATCTCACTGTATGTATGCCTATCTCTACCTCTTTACATCCCATAGAAATGAATGAGTTTTGGTCTCGTATTGATTGTTGGTCTGTTGGTAATGGTCTCATACTTAATCCGTCTAAATGTCAACCTCTTAACTTTAGCAGGAGACATGAACGGAATCTAAACACCATTTTGAGATCCCATAATGCTTGTACCATCGGAGACTCCTTGATAAACACAGTGTCACAGGTCAATTATCTTGGTGTCACTTTTTCCTCTGATCTGTCTTGGTCATCCCACGTTTTATTGTTATCGAAGAAAGTTTTCCGTCTGACTTACTACATAAAGAGACGGCATGCTCTTGGGATTACTCGTCATTTACTCTTACAATTTGTCAATTCTTGCATATTACCTATTATTCTTTACTGTTCTCCATTATTCTCTACCGGGTTTTTGAGAAAAGGCTTTGCTGTATTGCGGAGAGTGCTGAAGGCAGTTAGCAAGATGTGTGGTGAATCTTCCGAGGTCATAATTAATATGGTTGTGGATAGACATCTAAAGTCATGCAAACTCCCGGCAGGTGTTATTTTATCAGATACTAACCATCCCCTTCAATCTTATCTTTCTCCTTGTATATCTTCTGGTAGAACGAGACGTAATTACATTAAAATCCATGCACGCAAGCAAAAGTATAAAAGTCCTATAATACCTTACCTAGCAAATATACTCTGTGACGAACAGGTTGTTAAAGTTAACCTAGTCAATAACCTTCATTCTTAACATGTCCCTAATTTTAAAAGTTGTACAGTTTTTCAGTTGTTTATTTTTGTAAACCTTTTTTTGTATTTGTTACTGTATTTTTTTGCGTAGGTAACTTGTTGAAATACGCAGTGCTGAGAATTCTATATTGTACCAAAATATAATATTGAATAAAGCCATTAATAATAATAATAATAATAATAATAATAATAATAATAATAATAATAATAATAAGAATAAGAATAAGAATAATAATAATAATAAGAAGAAGAAGAAGAAGAAGAAAGACTCCTCGACCTTGAGTATGCGGATGATACTGTCTTACTGTGCGATAATGCCCAAGCCATGCAATCCGCACCTAATCAGTTAGCAATCAGTGTCCGTAGGTACGGTATGAGCTTTGCATCTTCGAAGTGCAAAGTACTTCTACAAGACTGGCAAAATTCTAATCCTGTACTCTCTCTGGATGATGAGCAGATAGAAGTAGTCGAGAAGTTCGTGTATCTGGGTAGCTGCATAAGTGCTGGTGGGGGTGTGAGTGATGAGATCAATGCACGTATAGTGAAGGCCAGAGCGGTTTATGCTAATCTGGGCCATCTTTGGCGCCTTCGTGATGTTAGTCTGGCTGTAAAAGGTCGGATCTACAACGCGTCGGTGAGAGCAGTTTTGCTCTATGCTTGTGAAACCTGGCCCCAACGAGTTCAGGATGTTAGACGACTCTCTGTGTTCGATCATCGTTGTCTCCAAAGGATTGCTGACATCCAGTGGCAACACCATGTTAGTAATGAAGAGGTTCGGCATCGTGTGTTCGGACACAGAGACGATAATCCGATTGGTGTCACCATCTTGAAACACCGACTTCGGTGACTTGGACATGTTCTACGAATGTCGTCCCAGAGAATCCCACGTCGTACATTATTTGCCGACGCTAGGACTGGTTGGGAAAAGCGGAGAGGTGGTCAATGTATGACATGGTGTCGTGGTATGAAAGAAAGCTGCAAAGGACTGGCTTCTGTTGGTCCTTCACGACTCCCTGGTTGGGGTCCTAGAGATTGTGCAACACAGTGGCTCGAGACGTTATCAGATATGGCTCAGAATAGAAGCCAGTGGCGATCCTGCTGTAATCTTCTTTTACTTTCTTCGTAAAAAGTGGTTGTGTCTTCCTTAACTGAAAGAATTCTTTTGGTTGTGCCTTTCCGTTTCCCCCATTATTATTATTACTACACCACCACACACTTATCTGCGATCGTTATTGTTTTTTTCTCTTCGAATTCTCATTGTTTTGTGTGGCGCATATATATTTGGTGCCCTCTGGTACCAATATTTATGTGTTCAAATAAATATATAATAATAATAATTGAAATTTTCTACCAAACATCGAAGAACAATTCGCCATTGTGACAAATTTGTTTCCCTTTCTGCTAAAATTTTTCTTACATTTCAAAATGAATGTTTCGTAGATGTTTTGCTTCGAAAATATAGCCACTTTACTACCGTATTTTTATGCAACAAAAACGAGCGAATAAGTTGAACTCAATAAAGTTTTATTTTAGCTTTACGATAGGTAATTGATGAGTTAGTATGCCATAATTAGTCAGCTGAAAACAATATTGGAACTGACATAAATATTTATTAGCACAATTCATTCTACATATTAGCACACAAATAAAAACAAAGACTACCTTAGTGGTTAAAGCAAATATGTTTCAACCACTAGGCCTCACGCTCACGTCCCACTCCATATACTTTAAGTTAGACAGCTAAGTTGTACCACTAGAGGTTACTCGAAAGCTTTGCTCAAAGATAAGTACTGTTAGCAGGAAATAGATTAGACTAAAACGTTCCATGCAGGAATGTGTTGGAGAAAGCTGATTGTTCCATTCTCAGCCAACCAGCACTAGCACATAATTGGAGATATTCGAATCTTCTTATGTAAAATTTCAAATAAACTAACGTTTTCTTATTGTGATTATTAATCCCATTCAACTCGGTTTATTTGGAATGTAATCTCGTTCCTATTCGACCGTACTTTGATTTGGGGACTGGTCTAGGGGAGTAGTGTCCGAAAAATACTAAGAAACAAGTATCTTAACAGATAAACAAATCCGTAGTTGGTAAAAGAATTAAATTAGGGATTGAATTGCTGTAAACAAGACCAGCATGAAATATTTATAGAAAAGGTAAAATAAAAATAGAATTTTAGTTGAAAAGGAACGAAGAAATAAGGAAATGAAAACCATGGAAAGCATTTAAGACCCAGAGGGAATTAATGAATAGATATAAACACACAATGATGGAGTTCTACACAGTACTGACACTAGGAACTTCCAAAGACACACATGTATACAAACCTCATTATTATTGATTGCGAACCAAAAATTTTATCAAGAATTAGGTTAAATATAAAGTTATCACTTATCACTTACAAACGACACGGGCACCGACTGGATACTTCTGTTTTAATTCGGATGCAGAAAAAGCTAGGGCTAATGATGAAGTTACGGCAAAACAAATCTCTGATTTTGACTTTGAAGATGTGTCCAAAGCAATAGTGTACTGAGCATTTTCATTCTCTTTAGCCCGATCCTTATCTGATTTAGGTGTAGAGGGATCTGAACTAGGCAAATGACATGATAACACACGACCGGGAAACCATGTATGTTGTGTTTTACGGTATAAGACTGGTTGAGATGGTGTGAGTTGTCTACATGAAGTTCAAAGGACGAACACAAATTATAATAAACGAAACTGGAATCCAACTGATTACATTTTCAAAAATATAATGTTTAACTACTGACTGAGAGAAATAGCCATAGTTTTTCACCTCGTATTGAAAATTTGTTGAAAAACCCTAGTGGATCGATATCACTCACTGTGAGTAATGATCAAACGACTCGAGTTTGAATCTCTAAAGTCAGAGCTCTCCTGATATTTTGGACATATTCCTATAAAAAGGTCCGACGTTCACAAAATCTATAGATTTATGTATATATAGGACCCTTTTATAGGTTTTCTTCAAAAAACATAACAAGTTCTATTCCAAGCGATGAGATTAGCTCACAGGAATATTACTAAGAAAATCTAGTCAAAACTATACAAAGCATCCTACTAATTTGTAATTACAACAATAACACTTACAACCCAAGTAGTAACTCTGACGGCTGTAATGTTCTCCAAACAGGAGCACTGGAGTGATTTATCGTTGATTCCAGAATTCGACTAAATTGAAATAATAAAAAAAGATTGGATTAATTTCCGTGGAAGCATTTGTGTCAAGTATAACTAATGTAAATAGAGGAGTAGTTTTGCAAGAATCGCATGAACTTAGTTTCCACTACAAACCGAAGTCAGCTGGAAAAACATCTAAAACTAGGAAACATTGGACAGCTTGAGATGGTGGAGATTTGTAGCTCAGGTGGGTGATTTTGATGGAGAAATCCACTTCTACCTGAAGTTTATGCTGATGATGTCATTCAGAAGGATGATAAAAGCTACACGACCAAACCAGCCAGCTCAGAGAACAAAACTCCATCAAAAACATTGGACAGCTGTTTTACAACCAAATGCTCACTCGTCGCTAGTTTTGGAATAAATTTCCAACCCTTTAAGTTGGAACCTAAGACTATCAACGGCATTGGATGAGGATAGCGCTGTAACATAAATTGACTTAAGTTGGAAAAATGACTTATCGGGTTTCGACTTAGTGATTTAAAGACATTGTGCTTACCGTGAGATCTGAAGATTTCAAATCTAATTCTATCTAGAATCGTAGATGAACTTTGCAATGAGAGCTCAAAGTAGAATGAAATATTTATGAACTGCTCCCTCGTTTCAAATGGTTCTCTAGCTGATGTTAGTTTATGATGAAAATTACCATGCCATAATATGAATACAGTTCAACCTGTCCAGTAACCAAATGACCACTAGCTCAGTCCTCTGGATATATTAACTGATAACTGTAATACTCGTACTAGGCTAAGTAATATCATACTGAGTCTTAAAATATGTGAAGCTTTGACTAACTGGTGTACACACCAAATTATCACCTACTGAATTTACTTCCCTCGCAACCGGTATAACGTTGGTGACCAGGAATAATTTTTGTTAGCAATATATATAATATATTACACATATTGCTAGATACACTTACAACTAGTTACCATATGGAAATTTATTTTGAAGGCACAGTATTCCCGAATATTGTAGTTATAAATATTAAAAATATGCGTTGCAGGTGTTGTGACTATTCAAGATAGTCTACTGATAACTTAAAACAGCCTGACACCAAAACTCTACATAGGCCATAAGTAATATGGAACTTTAATTGAAAAACATACTTATTCGGTTTCTCAATAACAACAATCTCTTCCTCGTCCTTGGCTAAATCAATTACACGATTATCAAATAAACGCAGAACGCGACCAAAAGAACTAAAGAGTATTTGCAAAAATGACTGGGTAAGAATTATATACTTTATCTGGAGTCTTGTCATTTCATCAACTATGGCATCAATCTTCCCATTCAATTCCAATATATTACTTTGTAAAGTTGATTGCTCCTTTTTAAGCTCATCCAAGCGTGCGTTCAGATTAAGTTCTGGAAAACTTTTGATTATTTCATCGATCAAACCGCATTCTTCCAAAGCCAAAGAAAATCTTTGCTGGATTATATGAAGTCTAAGTTTAGGATTATTTACTTTTAAATATAATGAGTATATATTGGAACAGGTATGTTCTTACCATCTTTTAATTCAGCTTGATATTTGCTTTCCACAAATGCGAAAATGATATCAAAGATACCATCAGAATCTAAAGCATCATAGATTGCCTCCGTTAGTTCATCGATAAGTAGTCGATGTTCATGCTTTAATGAATTCATTGTATCACCTAGATGAAGAATTAAGATCATTGTGTGAAGCAGATATGTAGTATTAAATGATAAGTGACAATAATGATGGTAAAAACGTTAAGTGCTCCACTATGGACACAATAATATTATCTAGTAAGTTATCTGGAAATACTTCATTTTCACATACCGTAACATGCGTTTCTGCTCAAATGAAATGAGACTTCATTTTTCCAAGCTAGTTTCTTTGAAGTCTATCAAGAATTACTTACAAAAAGTTCAGAAATGGGACACTGAACTATATATTTAAACAGTTTTCTACTGATTTTTATACTTTGATGATGCAAAAACCTGGCGAGTAATAACGGGATCCCGTACAATCCCACGTACAGTATCCGAAATTTCGGTCGTTTGACAGAGTCGCCTAGCCAGTTTCCAAGTACGTTTCATTACTATTTAGATGTTAATGAAGTAGTTCGACACAATTAGATACATCACCGTCAACATCAGAATCTAACCACGTAGGCTGTGCTTCAGCGGCCCAGTAAGTCACCTGTACGATCAAGTGAAGTTTATCAGATTTGATAGGTTGTATATAATGATGCAGAACATGTCGTCAGCTATTACTGAATTCAGTACAAATGTAAAGCTGCCACTATCAAAGTTCAGTGAACGCGAACATCCGCATCAATTCGACTGCGGACTATCAAGTCAGCAGTTCCCTTTGTCATCGGAAGAGGAACTGCAGATGCTGGACACTGGTTTGCAGCAGAAAGAAACCAGGGACAGATTTTTAGGTTAACAACATTAATTTTATAATTTGTTCGTATTACAGATGGCCATGGTAACAAGGTTAATGGATAATGATCCTAAAACCTCAATGCGATATGTTTTGTCGTACCTCATGACACCTGAGGTTGCCAGTAATTTCACGCTACTTGGCACTTCTTCAAAACGAGCACTTCAGAAATGCCGGTTCTACGGCTGCATACGAAGTAACCTATATCTATTATTTAAACTTCAGGTGCATTAACAAATCACTTTTTGTCATCGTCTGTCAACAAAAAAACCTTGCGAAACTGTACGGTATCGCGACACAAGGTTATTTTTACAACGTCAGAGACAAATTGATAAAGCGTAATAGGAGGAAACAAGAACATGTATGTAATAATTTAGTGATAACTTCCCTACTGTTCTATAGTTACAGTCAACAGTGTTAACGAACATAACCATAAGTGAATCTTCAAGTATCTGGCTGTGCCAAAGCATGTAATTCAGATATCGTTGTAACTTCTTTCGTTCTTTACACTTCAAAATTCACAGGAAGATTATTTTCATTCTCAATAGCCGAACATGCGTGGCTAAAGGAAGTAATTCGCGAAATTTTCTACTTATTTTTCAATAAACATTAATTTGTAAGTGAGCTTACTTTCTTACTTATATGGGAAACTATTTAAGTGTTGAGGTGTGTTTGATTATCAGTGAACTTGCGACTAAATACATATGCCTCATTAATAATACACCACCTGTTCATTCTTCTGCAGATCTTTTCAAATAACAATGAATTAGCAATTACAATGAAAATGCATAACGATTTATGTTCAAGCTTCTGCTATGATGTTGTACAATAATACGCTTTTCCTTTTGAATAAATGTATTTAAACATATACCATTTTTCCCGTGGATTGCAGTTTTAGTGTGGTTTGTTGTGGGGATAAAGGCGAACATGGGAGACCTATGGGGTTATGTCAATGTTTTTAAAGGTTGGAGCAAAAGTAGGCGATTCGGTGTGCATTTAAGCGAAAAGTAGGGAATTCGGCGTATATTAAGGCGAAAAGTAGACAATTCGGCACATATTTAGGCGAAAAGTAGACAATTCAGCGACATTTGAGCGACGAAAAGGAAGAAACCTGCATTATTTCCCCCGGACAGGCGGAAAGGCAGACATTTTGGCGCATTTCCCCTTTGTTGGTTGATTGGGGAGACGCAAATGCATACGCACTTCAGGCAGATTTAAATAATGTGATTAACTGATCCAAAGACTGGCTTGTGCTTATCAATAATAATAAGTAATATGTACCTAGTATATAAATTGGAATGTGGCATTAATTAGTCTGCCAACTGGAAGGCTGTTGTAATTAATTACAACTTGTAAATACTACAACCATAGTAGTATAAATAAATATATATATACGACACTAATGATGAGCGTTAAAATTCCTTTTATTGGTAGTGTTGAGCATGCACAATAATTAGCCATCTGTTTTCTAAAAAATTTATAACACACATAGCAACAATGAATGCAGCTGAGAAGTTTTGTTGTAACGCGATGTCTAAATGATCCTCTGCTAAATCCTTCAAATCCCAATTTGTGGATGTCACAATGTAGGTTAATAATGCTTAAGGAATTGTGTTTGCACAGTTATTTGTATTTTATCAAATGTTCAGAATTCCTCGTAAATAAATTCACATAATAATATCTATAAGGTCAGTTCTGTTATAGTCGTTTGGGTGAACGGTACCTTATGTGAGAATGACCTGCTTTGGTCCATCGACTGACGCTGTCCAATAGGGTTTTAATGAAATGCATTTAAACCAATCAACTCAAATCGTTTTTGTCTAACAAATAATCACTGGGCCTTGATTGGTTTTCGGAACGTCATCCAGGTCAAAGATGACTAACGCGAAATGATCAATTGTCGACATTGTTTTGGTCCATATGATAGTATCTGTACTCCTTGTCGCAAAGAAATCACTCATCTCGTAAGATTTTGTCTGGTGTCTTTGAATAATGAGTGAACATAGCAATCTGGCCACTGGGTTGGGTTAAACCCAATGGTGTAACATCCACTGACGATTGCATAAGTTAGAAACACCCATCATTTCATTCCAAATTCAGTAATCTAGCATTGACGCCATTAAATTTCAATATAATTTTCCATTTCTACCATTACTGCATAAGCATGTTAATTAGTTCTCATAAGTAATTTCTAATTATGATATTAATTAGTGTTCCTGTATCGATGACTAGTCTGATAGATACAAAACAAGTGATAGTAGTCCAGTAGTAACATACAAATGCTGCGGTGAGATACGTCGTCTGGTGGTACATCACACATACGTTTTAAGTTCCTCCTTGCAACGTTAAGAGCCAGATACATGCGTATACGCATACATGAGCCAATAACGTGAAATTAAATCTCAGTACGTTTTGTTTACATGCGTGTCATCTCAGTTGTCTAAATTTGACATAGGTTATCTGAATTTGACGTTTTTAAACGTGACAGTCATATAATCAAAGTATTTCGACCTAGTCAAACCACGATTCAGAAATGAAGTGATTCGAAGATGCATTTGAAAGGCTATCTATATATCGGGAAGAATTTAGTTTCAGCTGGTCAACAGTTGCAAAAGATGTGAAGCACGGCGTCCCCACTCGTAATTTAGCGTGGATGCTTGACCGAGTGCCTTCAACAAGGTGTGACCAGTAGAACTAATGACTGAAGCACTAACCTCGAAGACTTACGGAACTATTTACTTTGTGGATTTGTTTACATCTACAACACACTTCACTAGCCTGGTAGTGATGACCCTGAGACGCGAACAACCAGAAGTCTAGACTCAATGATCTTGTTGCTGGTAAGCACTCTTCAAACGGCTTGCCATATTCAGCAGAATTTAATATAAGGGGCTATATGGCTAAATACAGCAATGAAAAAAATGTATGATGAAAACTTTGGTATACCATATTCTTCGTCGGTTTTTCATTTATTTCCAACAGTCCTGGAATAGAAAATAATAAATTGTAAATGAATGTCGGAATTCACTCGTACATGCTCAGGAACACAGAACAGGCAATTAAAGAGAATAAACTGGTATATATTTGTTTCGTTAACATGCGATAGCGTGAAAACCATTTTCAAACAAAGGTATTTTAGGATTTCTTGAAAAAACATAAGTCATATCCACGTGTATATAAACACAAAAAACAACTCCTTTCCTTGGTGTTTTTGACAAAACAATACACAAAATCAAGATAAAACATGCTGTGTGGTGTCCTATATGCAGTAATCTTTTGAGCACGTTGTTTTAGGCCGGTTGTCAGATACTGGCAAAGTTTCTTTATAATTTCCGATTTTCTTGTGACATTCCGTAATTGTGAGTCTCGTGTCGTTCGAGTGCACAGAAAGAAATTCGATATTTTCATGGTCTCTTTCTAAATACGCAGCATTAGGACGGTCCATGTTAGCGTTACCGTTATTTCTATTTCCATCGACGATATAGCATTTAGGTTTGCGAAGAAGGATTTTAAAGTCCTTCGTATTACATTTCAAGAGGTCGTCATAATGAGTAGCTACGTAGGAAAATGTGTGTACTATATGGTAGGAAATGTTAAATAAAAACATTAGATGATTGCAGTCGAGTGGAAACAGGTTTAACTGAACATATGGAGCTTGTAAGCCCGCTCATTTAAGGGACTAAATCCTCACTGAATGAAGAAGATCTACAAGTCGAAGTGGATTTGCACATTGTTACAGGAAAAACTGAATGTTTAACTGGCCAATAACTGTTATTTTGGATATCTTTAGTTTCACTGTTTTGGATAATGCTGTCTTACTTAACCACTCAACCTCTTCGTTTATAACTTTGGATTATGATATTTTCGGTTCCACGTTGCCTCGTTCAAGAGTTTTGGAAATTATGCCATGAGAGACTGAGGATAATCTCCACTCTCGTTCCTACTTTTGATCTTGCATCTGGCAATCAATCAAAATGAAGCAGGAATCGTTACTTACGTAATCGTAGTCTATTATTCAGGACGCGTTTTATTCCCTGTAGTTTTAGCTGCCTTTTATGAAAAACGTGCCTTTTTCTTCTACAAAAATACCACTACATAATGCCATGGATGTGTTAAGTGTGGCGCAGCTGGCTAACATGGGAGAAATTTTACAATGTGCCAAAGGTTATACCTCTAATTAATCCTAAAATTACGATAAAATAAAGTCCACTTATGAACATAAAAAATCCATAATAATAAAAATAAATTGTGATAGCCTTGACAAAAGAAACAAAAATATGGAGAGAGCACCTTTCGTGTCGGTAGGTATCTCTCGTTCTATTGATAGAATAAATCAAACTAATTCTGTATTGGTTTTTATTTCGGTCATAAGACACCACATAGTGGAGTGCGAGGTCACTAGTTTGGATATGCAAAGCTTTCCAACATCCGGTCCCTCATACCCCTCATGGAGGAGAATATGTCGCTCACCAGCATTCTCCGTCCAAATCTGCCCTGGGCAATCCTTTCAACTTCTTCCCAGTTTCTTTTGATCCTTTTAATGTCTTCTTCCAATTCCAGACGTAATGTGTTCTTCTACCTTACTTTTTTAGTTTCCCTTCAGGATCCCAAGTTAGGATGCAGTTTGGTGATTTCCGTAATATATGTCCTATCCACTTCCGACGTCTTTTCCTGATTTCCTATTCAGCTGGAACTTTGTTTGTTCCCTCCCACGGTAGGCTGTTGTTGATGTCATCCGGTCGACGGACATTCAGTATCTTGAGTAGACGATTGTTTATAAATACTTGTACAATTTGATGATTGACGTAGTTCTCCGAGTTTCAGTTCCGTACAGTAG